TATCCCCTGTGTGCCTTGTCGACTCAGTTCTCTTTCTCGCCTCCCCCCCCTCCCCTGCCGCGAGTCCGGGGAGAGACCCGCGGGAGTCGAAACGGAAAGGTCGCCGTCGTCGTCGATACATGCTACGATCGGATACACCTGGATACACCGATGACCGTTGAGGCTGGCCTGTGTCACGATTGCTGCGAGTGGTTCGCGAGCCACTTGAGTTTTGTAGAGATTCAAGAGAGATGTGTAATGGATGATGTTCGCGTGTACAGCATACAACGAGGAGCCAGTTGTATCTTTACCAAATCCTTCATGCCATGCCATGCAAAAGCCAGACATTGCGGTCTAAAATTGTCCCTGAGACGTCTTTCGTAGAGCCTTTTGGACGTCTCTCGGAAAAAGAGGTCTTTAAGATATCTTTTGGAGCTCTTTCAGACGTTTTATACCCCAATTTTGGACTTTGTGTCGTCTGGGAAGCTGCGATGCAGCTGTACTTCGGTCTCACGAAGCCTTCCTCCTGTTCATCATCCAATCATTTGGATATTTTTCATAATGTTAACTTGTCGCAGGGATACGAATAACTCAGTCATTATGAGTGCACATGTACACGTATCTCGCTCTGCACTGTCTATCTTGTACGGCTGTGTGGTGACGTACATTTCAAATTGCATCGTAACAAATTTTCTATTTCATATTCAGCATGAATGATAGCCATAACAGCATCTTTCAAACATCACGAACGTCGCATCTTCCTGAGGGCACAGTGGAGAGTAATACAAAATGTCTGTTTCTCTTTTTTTTTCGGACATGTTCCATAAGGTGCGTACATTCTAAGAAAACATGCCTCTGTTTGGAAAGTCCCAGAAGAGTCCGGCGGAGGTGGTGAAGGCACTCAAGGAGGCGGTAAACGCGTTGGAGCGCGGCGACAAGAAGGTAGAGAAGGTACGTTGTTGTGGATACACGGTCGGTTTCTACGATGAAATACATCCCCTTTTAGGCGCAAGAAGATGTGAGCAAGAATCTTGTGCACATCAAAAACATGCTATACGGCACGGCCGAGACGGAGCCGCAGGCAGACATCGTGGTCGCGCAGCTGGCGCAGGAATTGTACAACAGCAATCTGCTGCTTCTGCTTGTGCAAAACTTGAGTCGCATCGACTTCGAGGTACGCTCTCAGTACACATGAAACGAATCCCCAAAACGAAATCTCGTACGAATGTTTTTTGTGGCAAAAAGGAAATTGTATGTATGCGAAAATTATTACTAAATATTAGAATATTTATTGGAATTCGTGTCCACGCTACGCTATTGAAGATCGAGGGTTGCAAATTGGGAATTCGATCAGTTGGATATTCAATTTTAATCTGTCATGTTCTAATTGCTTGAATTCTTCAATTCGCAGTCCTCAATCTCCAATGCATAGGTTGATACAAGCTTAAGATTGTGGCATTAAATTGCTCATCTAATATGAAAAATTCTAGTTTTAAAGCAATATTGAATATTATTCAAATTAATGTTATTTACACATGATATATTTAAAAGTATTTAATGAAATAATTTACAGCTTTGTGTTCTTTTCTGAATTCCCGGCGTGAATCGTTAGCGATTGTTATGAATTTTTAATGTTTCTGTTCCTAATTAAGGGAAAGAAGGATGTCGCACAGGTCTTCAATAACATTTTGCGGAGGCAAATCGGTACTAGATCGCCTACCGTAGAATACATATGTACCAAACCCGAAATTCTTTTTACACTTATGTCTGGGTGAGTCCTCTTTTTTTCTTTACGCAACGTCAGCAGAATGACAAAAAGTATGCCGCTACTACTAAACGTACTTTGTGTCTTATAGTTACGAGCACCAAGACATCGCGCTCAACTGTGGCACAATGTTGCGAGAGTGCGCGAGATACGAAGCCCTGGCCAAGATTATGATCTATTCGGATGACTTTTACAACTTCTTCAGATATGTCGAAGTCTCTACGTTCGATATCGCGTCTGACGCTTTCTCTACGTTTAAAGTACGTCATACGCTTTCTGCAATACAAGAATATCTATACCAAATATACATATCAAATAATATTTCTTTTTATTGAAATTTATTAACGATTAATATCATTCTTTTCCTATAAAAAAAAATTTTAATATCTAGCGAAAGATTTTACTTACCACTTTGATATTGTACCGTTAATCAAAATGACTCATTATTTTTGTCCAGGAATTACTTACGAGGCACAAAATACTCAGCGCCGAATTCTTAGAGATACATTACGATAAAGTTTTTTCGCACTATCAGAGGTTACTCAATTCAGAAAACTATGTAACACGACGACAGAGTTTAAAACTGTTGGGCGAGCTACTGCTCGATAGACACAATTTTACAGTAAGTATCCTCGTCACAATATTTTTCATATAATTGTACTAAAGATTTTCGGATGTATCTCAAAATATTTCAAATAATTTCTGCGTACGTACGTATATGCTCAATCGCTGGAAATCGCCCAAATAATGCACTATATGTGTTTCATAAATATAAACAGTATATTTCTAAAGATATATTTTGCTGGTTTACACATGTTCCTCGGTTATAAACAGTCAATACATAAAATATTAATATACTAAAGAAATTTGTAAGAAATGCAATAATTTATATAAACAAAAATTCTTAGACATATTATTTGCACTTACATTTTATTAATAGTATTGTTAGTAAAATATTAAATCAGTCAAGTTGCTTAATTTTGTCGATAATCAGACGTACTTTGCAATAATAAAATAGAATACAATATAGTAGAATATTCTTGACAACGCTTTCTGACGGCCTGAAATTCTTAATACTTCTTTCATTCCATTTGTGAGAAGCTATTGGCAAACGGTAGCAGTTTATTGGAATTGGCTTTAATGTTAATATTGTTGCAGGTTATGACACGATATATATCAAATCCAGATAATTTGAAATTAATGATGAACATGCTAAAGGAGAAGTCTCGCAATATACAATTTGAGGCTTTCCACGTCTTCAAGGTACGGCAGCGCTCAATATGTATATTTTAATTTGACAAGCAAATATATAAATTTTACCTCGCAATTAATATTAAATTTTCGTATCTGGAGTTTTGTAATACGTGACATATCACAGCGTATAATACTCGTCTCTTAAAATAATCGTTCCAAATAGACACATGAGAAACAATCCTGACGAAATAGATTAACGAATGTAACCTCTTCTGATTGTATCCAGGTATTTGTGGCGAATCCCAACAAACCGAAACCCATTCTGGACATATTGCTCCGCAATCAGGAGAAGCTGATCGAGTTCCTGACGCGCTTCCACACGGATCGTTCCGAAGACGAGCAGTTCAATGACGAGAAGGCGTATCTGATTAAGCAGATCAAAGAACTTAAGTCTGTACATGATAATTAAGTCAAGGAAAATACAATTATTGCTACCGCTACGACTAACTACCACTACAATCATTATTACTAGAGTCTACTGCTGCTGTTGCTAATTACGGTTTTATCACTATTATATAGTTATAATTTATCATCATCACTGTCATACATTATCATCCATTATTACGATCATCGTCATTACCATTGTCATCACCCCGGCATTATTATTATTATTATTAATTTTATTTGTGAGTAAATAATTCACTGTAAATAAAAATTACATTTATATCTTATTGTACTATACGCAGATCGAGTTGTCATCGTTGCCAGCGTTCTGCCACGTTTTTAGGAATGAGTCGGTTATTAAAGCAGAATGAAAACTTAATTGTCTCTTGATTTTTGCGGCTCTAGTCGCGAGATTTACTCATCTTTTCATCAAAATCTTATCGTTATATAGGCGTTTAAGAATCGCTTAAATGTGTATATTTTTCGAAGCACAAGACTTTTAGTTGGCTGTTGGTTCAAATCTCGATTCTATATCGATCCCACATATAGATAATAATTTTGGGAATCCATATTTTATTTGCAAAATATGCAATTGATACATATATAATTTACAAACCTTATCACGTGGAAATTTTTTTAGTAATAGCTGCAACGGCAACACTCATATCCGTGAACAGGCTTTGTGTACGTTTTTGTACATTTTTTCGATCAGGTTCACAATATTTCTCCCAGTCCTTAAATTTTTGAAGTTTCGCCATTGCAGCGTCCTTCAAGACTCTTTGTTGAATATTTTTCATTAGCCAATTTATTTGCGGACACATTGCCATAGTCTGAAAAACATTTGAAAGATATATTTAAAAAAAAAACAGGAGGAAGTTAGAGTACCTAACGGTATCTAAAGATACATAAAAAATTATACAAGTATTTAAAAGTATTTATAATCTAAAATTATTGAAGAATGGATTAAAGAATTTATAAGACCAGAAAATTTAAGAATATAAATAAATGTGAGATACAAGATGACGAGTGCTACAAGTTTTAAATTCAAAAATTTAGAATTATTCTCGGTTGAATTTAGCAAGCTGTACCTTCGCGTAATCTTCATCCTGGACAAGCAGCCATATTACAGTGGCACAATGCAGAAATACCTCCTTGTGTTTCAACGATCCACTCAGTAGCTGCACCAATGGCAATGCATACTCTTTCTAACAATCAACAGAAAGTTCTCTTTTTTAATGATATATTGAACATAATATATGACGCAAGGAGGATGATAAACCATTAACTTTCTCGAAACTTACCTTGAGGACATACTTTTTCGTGTAGGAGTACTGAGCCATGGTGATCAGAATGTTGCACGCTTGCAGACAGACCTTCATCCACGGCAGCGATCTGTTGCTCTGCGCTATCGTATTGTAGACTTCATCGGCCAAATTCAACTCGCAGAAGATCACGCATTCGATGGGTGACAGTTTTGTTAAGGCATCTATGCGCGGCGAGTACAAATTATTTATTTATTATTTAGATCAAAAGGAAAAATTATCTGTTATCATAGACATAAGTCTTATATAATAGACTGTGCATTCACATGGCAACTGAAGATAACATTGAAGGACAGATATGCATAATCTGTCCGTCAAATATATTTTTTATAATAAAAAAAAGGCTGCTTCTTCTCTTCCCCATCAATCCAACTGCACAATTGAATGAATATCTGAGCAACTATTGTTCTCTCTTATTAATGTTGCCTTCATGTCTCCAATGAAAGCGCTCAGTCTGTTATATAAGTCTATGTCCGTTATTTAAAGAAATGATACAGCATAGAAGGCGGAGAATTGAGAGATAAAATTTTATTTTATCCAAACTGTTCTTCAAAATATTATTGTTACCAAGAAAAATTGAAGGACTTGCTACAACAGTGAGCTAACTCACGTTTTGGAAAAATGGAAAAAAAAAAACGAACCGTTAAGTTAAAATAATGAACCTTACAATTCATTTTCTCCGTTTTTACAAAACATAAAATATAGATTAGCCCATTGTTGCAGCAAGTCCTTCAATTAATTATGCAGTGTCAGTCACTCAAGCGAGGACGCATCACCTACCTAAGCTGTTCAAACAAGTGAGCAGCGACCCGACGCTGCTGCAGCTGCGCAACGCGCTAATCCTCAGTTGCCAGTCGTCGCTGCCCGAAGCCGCGAGTTTCGTAATAACGTCCTGATCCTTCTGATTAGCCTCCTCACCGCATTCGTCTCTTCGAATCTTCGTGGCGATCAGAGCGACTTCGTACAGCCGGCATTTCTCGTCGCGTGCCAGTCTCATCTGCCTGTAACGACGCTGCAACGTGATCGCTGCCTGGTGCATAGTCAGATAACGCAGCCTCTCTCGTCTACCGGCAGCGTAGGCTCGCCAGTAGGCCTGGATGATCAACGCGGCGTACTTCATCAACGCGTATCTCTGCGTTGCGATTTTCATTCTGTAATATGACTGAATGACTATCGCGGCTTGCTGCATAGCGACGAATCGTTTCCTCGCCACCCGAGCTCTCCAGCGTGCTTGCACGACGACAGCCGCGCGAGTCAGCAGGTGCTCTCTCCTCGCGACGCGCGCGGCTCTCTTCGCGCGCCACTTTCTCTGAATCATCAACACATGGCTCCGGCACCGTTCGTACTCGCGCCGCGCTCTGACCATTCGCCACCAGGATTGCAGAGTGATGCACGCCCTCCTCGTGGTCAGGTACCGCTGGCGATCCCCGCGTGCTAGGACACGTCGGCGCCAGTGAATCTGCAGGAGAATGGCGCTCCCGCGAAGTCGCAGGTATCCTCGCCGTTCCTCGCGAGCCACCGTAACGTTGCGCCACCAATTCTGTATTCGTGTCGCGGCCCTTCGCGTCTTCAAGTAACGTCGTCGGACGATCCTCGCTGAATGAGTACGGCGGTACCAGGATTGTATCAGTACGGCCGCTCGCCGCTGCTTCAAATAATCTCTCCTGACCGTCCTCGCCCGCCAGTTCTTCTGCACAACACACGCCGCTTCCCGCAGCTGTAGAAAGCCCGAGCGTTGGCGTCTCGCAAGCACGATCCCGCGCCACCAACGTTGCAACTTCAGACAGCAAGTCTTCCGAAGTCTGTATCTGCGCGAGCACGTCGCCGCTCTCCACCACGCTTGTATCTTCAGGCAGGCGACCTCCCGCTTGTGCGCTCGGTGTTTTCTCCACGTTCTCTGAATGAGAACGGCACTCTTGCGGTAGACGAGGAACCTCTTCCTGTCGATCACGCTCAGCCACCACGTCTCAATGGTACGCGCGGCGGCTCTCGTCAGCAGGAAGTCGTTGCGCGCTTTTCGCACCAACAGATGCTGCCTCCACCAAGCCTGGATTACACGAGAGCTCTCTCTGCGGTGAAGAAACCATTCGCGCTGTCGCCGCATGATTTCCACAGATCTCCACAAGGATTGTATTTTTACGACGGCATCTCTGCACGCGAGATATTTGGAACGTTGCAGTTTCATCGCTCGCGTCGCTCGCCAACGCGTTTGAATCGTCAACGCGGCATTCCTCAGACTGAGATAGCGACTCCGTTGCGTCCGCATCAGCAACGTAGCTCTCCATCTCCTCTGCAACGCGATCGCGGCTTTGCGTTTCCTCCTTAACTCTTGCACCTTCGCACTTCCTCGCACCTGCCTCCACCATCTCTGAAGGTTTATCGCGGCCGTTCTGATGACCAAGAATTCCTTGCGTTCATCAAGATTGCAGTCAATCTCGATCGAGCGCGAGAGCTGCGTTGTTTTGCGCCTCCACGCACGTTGGATCACGATCGCGGCCAAGTCTCTTCGTGCGCGCAGGTAGTTCCTCACGCAAACGTACCAAAGTTGCGCCCGCCACCATCTCTGGATGACGCGTGCCGCCCGATCGAACCGCGGCGCCTGGTACCTGTGGACGATCTGCCAGAGAAGCGACAGAGTCTTCTCGCAGTGGCCGTCGGCGATGCACTTTGCGTCGATGTTGCCCTCGAGGGCGTAGCCGGCCTGACGCAAGGCGCCCAACGCTACGTCCACGTTGTGCACCTTCTGCAGACGCGATATCGCCGGCACCCGGCAACGTTGGGTCAAGCCTCGGGCCCCGGTGATGAGCTCCATCGCGCGACACAGCCTCACGCCGTCGCGTAGATCGTGCCGTATATTCACCACCGCGTAATCGTACTCCTCGATGTGGGTCTGCCGATAGGTGAGCACGTAGTCGTGGCCGCGCAGTATCCTGGTCACGTCGCCGATGCCGCTCAGGAGCTCGCGCGAAAAGCTCAGCAGGATCTCGCGGCTCTCCTTGTACTCGGCGCGCTTGTGGAACAGGCACGGATCGTGGCCGATCAGCTTGTGCTGTTTGGCGTAATCCAGAAAGTACACGAGAAACAGGAATTTTCTCAGAATAAACTGATTCAGCTGCGTGACGAACTTCTGGCTCGGATCGGTTTTGTGGTAGCCGGGCATTTTCATCAGTCGCGGATCCGAAAAGAATCTCGTCAGTAAGAAGCGAGTCAGGCCAATGATGTCGTTGTTCGAGCGTAGCGGAATGCTCTCGCTGTATACGGTTTCCAAGCCGATACGTAGCCACAGAGGATTGTAGCTCAGGAACAAGCCTAATATGAGCTTCTGCAAACCTGTTAAGTAATTAAATTTAGAACATAAAAACGCTTAAGATTAAAGTTTTAAAATTGATTAAGTTTTCTTTGACCGTAAAGAAAATTGAGTACTAGAGAAATAAAAATTAGAAAATGGTCTCCAAGGATATGCGAGCTTATAAAAAAATCATTTCAACGCACCAATATCACGATTAAGATTACGATCCGATCTAATACACAAAGTCCCTTTGACGATGCACATGTTGGTACGTGAGAGCACTTGCGTAACTTCGTCCCGTTTGAACATGGCATTCGCGGCTTTTCGTAATGTGTTTAATCTCGTATTCGTGTGATATCTAAAAAAAAAATTAAAATAATTGCCATTGATTGGCGATTACTTGATAACAACTTCAATATCACAGTTTTTAGAAGCAGGACTTTTCTATATTAGTTATTAGTACGTCACGCACCTAGCAGATACAGCCTCCTTGGTTTCAGCCAATACGGTGTTCTTTTGCGCTTTGCACGTTTGCCATACCTTGCCGACGTCCGTCACGGCGGTTTCAATGTCCACAGATAAATCTTCCGGCGAGGATAGCAGAGCATTCAACCACTTTGTGAAGGCCAACTCTTGCTGCAGCAGCCACGGTTCGTCAAAGTGCATTGTACTGTTGTAATAAGATGATCAACGTGTTAAAATAATCAGAATCAACTTTTCAATCGATAGATGGATCCAATTAAAAATTGGCGTTAATAAAACAACAGTAATTTTTTTATAAGTTAATTTACGAATTAGTATAAAAATTACAAATTTTCATAGAAACGATAAAAATAACCTTGGCCAGAAGTATAAAATGCTCTCAATTTATTGCATTTTCTTGGAAAAAGCAGTAATAAAAGCTAAAAAGAAAACTAACAAAATATTAAAATTGTCATAAAAATAAATATTATTTTTTAATAAAACGTTTTTAATTTTATTTTTATTAGATATAAAACGTTAACTTTTAGGGGAGTACTTTATGACTATAATACTACTAGCCAAGATTGTATAATGTAAACAAATTATAGATTTTCTGGATTTATATAATATTAATGTAAAATGTGCTCTCTCGGCATAAATTATAAAGACTCAGCTAACTTTTTAATGAACGGATCCTCCGTTGTAGACGGCGCGAAGGGGTCCAACCCGTACGTTTCGTAGATGAAATATTCCTCTTCGTTTCGCGTTCGGTAACTCGAATCTCTGAAGGACGACAAAGTATGCCACTTTGTATTACGCAAGGTACTGAGAGACGAATTGTTTAGCTTGATTGCTGGTACATTCTTCGTATTCCTCTCTGCAATTATAATACACAAATCAGAGAATCAATGTTATTGAGAATAAAATTTTTTGTTGATAGGTAGAGCTAAAAGGTAGAACTCACTTGCAGCAGATACGTTCAGTTGTAGCTTCTTTCTGTTCCCATCGTCGCGCAAGGTGCTGTTCTTCGTCACTCTGCCGGTTCTCGCGCCGCTGAATTTCGATACCGACATAGATAACACCTTAGAGTGGAAGTGCTTCTTCGGCGGAGAGATCTCGATATACATTTCTCCCGTCTTCTTGGCCGCCTCGACGTTCCTAGGAAGCACCTCGAAGCTGTAGTATTCGCAATTGGTCGTTTGGATACTCGAGTCAATGTCCACCGTAAAATGCTTGGCGTATCCATTGGAATCCTTCGGTATTGAAAAGTGATGTTGAAATTGAATCGGCGACGACGAAATCAAATCCTTGATGTCGAGGGGGCATCCGTTGGGCTTGATCGGCGATAAATTGTGCAAGCCCGCCGGTTGTAATACAGAAGTCGGTGCCTCAACGGAAGTCTTCGCGTCGTAAATTGCGGACGTCTCAAAGACTTGACTGCGGCTGATATTGAACGTTCTGTGCTTGTCCACGGCCTGCGAAGCCGTGGACTCCGTCGATTCCCTTCTCGCCGGCTCCGGGGAACTCGCGACTACATCCGTCGACGTGAACGTAAATTTATTCAGAAGTATGGAAAAGTCGGACTGCGCCTTGCCGCTGCCGCATTCCGCATTCTCATCGACTTCTTCACTGTGCTCGTACAGAATATTGCTGCAGGGTCTTCTCTCCTTAATATACGTGGCCCGACGTATATCCTGCGGCACGTTCGAGGCAAGCAAGACCTGCGGCAGGAGGCTACCGTCGCTCCACACATTCATATTTTGCTCGCACAAGATATGTTCTAGTTTATCGTGCGTCCCGCTATGTTGAGTCTCGTCGTCTTTTGCTCGCGACACATAAATCGTCTTTGCTTCATTATTTCTGTTTAAGATGTTCTCTTTATTATTCTCATATTTGGATTGTTTTACTTGTTTGTTTTGCTGTTGTTTGTTTACAGTCGACAAACTTCTCGAAAGATTCGAGAAGTTTGATACAGCCGGTCTCAGCCTTCTTCTCGTCTTGTTGTTTTTGTTGTCATCCTTGGCAGTCGTCGCTACAATAATGTCATACTTAATTCGTCTACTATCGGTAAGTTGCAATACATCTCGCCAACATCCCGCCTCTCTGGGTGACCATTTCATATGTATTGTCCCGCTGCTGTTCCCTTGAATCTCTAGCTTGGACAAGCTTAGGACGATCCGACGTTCAACAGACGGTAGCTTTGTTACGCATACCTAAAAAACAAGATTGTTAAGTGCAACAAGTTAAATGAAAAACCAAGTTATGGAAGTATTTGAAAACATTTTTTTTTACAATTATTTGTAAATGATATTTGATTCTACATAAAAAAAAGACTTATGCCCATTTCAATGTAGATTAGCTTTCATCTCTGTTCGACTTTTTACTGTCATCTAATTCTAAGAACCAAAAAAAAGATAAATAAATTAAAATAAATGAAACCGAAAGTAAAGTTAATCTATATTGGTGACCTTAAATGGACCTTAAAATATTTGAGGAATATATCTTTCGTACGTTTAGTGTCTTATCGCCAGCGTTCCTCACGTCTAAATAGCACTCTACGTCGGTGTTTATCTTGGTCTCCAGTTCGATTCTTGTCGCCGGTTGGAACGGGGCAAGTAGCATGCTGTAACGAGGCCCGTCCGCATCTGGCTTACCACCTTCCGGCGCATGATGAGGATTCATTTTCGTACGAAAATCTCTCGATAAACTGTAATTTAGACATATGAATTGCAGATCGTTCAACGTGCGACACAAAATCTGTAGACTATTCATTGTAAAACGCAATATCGAAATATGTTAAATTTAACGGAAAGCGCATTGTGTCGATTTCATCGCGGTTCTCCACGTCGATACCGTTACACATCTTAAACGTTTAAAAACTCACTTTTTTTTTCGAATTAAATCTACGAACAGAGAACGATGGATGACATGGATGTTGACGATGTTGTACCTATCACAACAGTAACGGATTTTGTCATTTCAATTTGAACGGGTGCACGAGTAGCCTGCAGGGTTGTCAACCTTCCTCTTCTCTTGCCTTTGGTTGTCCAGATGCTAGGGTTGTCAACCTTCGTGTGCGAGCGATACGTTGCAGCGCCGCCTGGTGGCAAATCACGCAAACTACGATCAAATCCTAGCTGCGCGCGCGCTCATTGGATATCGGCGCCGGTGTGCCGAGCGGGTGTTCAGAAAAGGCGGCAAACGCGCCACGAGCGACGAGAAGCGCCAGCCAATCACTTGCCGCAGCGCGGCTGTAACTTCTGGACAAGCGGGCGCCTGATTGGTTCGTCGCGCGAGTCAGTGTATTATTCCCCAGGATTGCACCCTCGCCTTAAATAAAAGGCAACGACACCGGGAGATTCGTTCACAGTGGCACACACTCGCGCGTGCACGTATACACACCATACACACACACACATACGTCGCGGTAACATTGTTCACCTATCATATCTCGCTTCTCGAGCCCCGTGTTTATATGTTAAACAATTCGGTGGTGTCGGCTCTTGGCGTGCGATCGTTTGGCTGAGTGGGCGAGTAAAAAGAGCCCCAGTGCCATTAAAGAAAAAAAAAAGAGACCAAGAGGAGGAGGAGGGCGCCCCGCGAGAACGACTCGGGCTCGGATTTGGAAGCGGTGAATAATCCGCCCGGTACGGTGCACGGGAGTCCCGCTCGGATCCCGTCTGTTATTCTTACTGTTAGGCGAAACTCCGCGGCGTTTCCGCAACGTCCAATGCGTCGATCACGGCGGTGAAACCCCAGGTCGACGACGACGACGAAGACAAGGCCGTAAGTACTCGCGTGTAGCGTGTAATTTCTCTCGTCCGCTGGCCCTTCCACTGATTGACGTGCTCTTCGCACCAACCATTCCCGTTCCAACCCGCCTGAATCGCCGGCTATCTTATTTATCCGACAGGCTACTCCCACGGTCGCTTCTGCAGGATTTTAGAGAACGATCGAGCGTGAACTGCCTGGGACTCGTACGTGAGAGCCGTTTCGACAACGGCCGCGCTTTCCGGCGAGGTTCCATCCACCCGCACCTCATTCGCCCAGTTTGTCTCCGCGTTGTACGATGGCCGAGTCCAGCGATTTGGATCGGCAAATCGAGCAGCTGAAGAAGTGCGAGATTATTAAGGAGGCCGAGGTCAAGGCGCTGTGTGCGAAGGCGCGGGAGATCCTGATCGAGGAGAGCAACGTGCAGCGTGTCGACTCACCTGTGACAGTAACTATTTTTCCATTTTTCTGCAAGAGAGAAAGAGAGAGAGAGAGAACATTTGGGTATTGTCTGGAATATTTTAAACACGTTAAAGTTTAACCTGGTGTGTTTCGAACTTTAGGTTTGTGGAGATATCCATGGACAGTTTTACGATTTGAAGGAGCTATTTAAAGTTGGTGGGGATGTGCCAGAAACGAATTACCTTTTTATGGGAGATTTTGTAGACAGAGGTTTTTATAGTGTCGAAACGTTTCTTCTTCTACTTGCATTAAAGGTACACCAAAGTATAAAATGACATGGGCTTATTAAGAATGTACTGAAGTATCTGGATAGTGATTGAGAAAAACAGCTTGTTTTTTATTTTATGTAAATATAAATATGTTAAAAAATATATCATATTTAATTAATATAATCAATATATTGCATATATCACATACATTATTTATTTTATGTAAATATAAATATGTTAAAAAATATATCATATTTAGTTAACATAATCAATATATTGCATGTCACATATATTATTAGTCTTGCATTTCATATTTAGATAAAAATTATTTGACAGAAATTAAATCAAACACAGCTAACAGAATTGTCTATTATAATATAATCTTACAGTTTATGTCTTGTCACACAGGTCCGCTATCCTGACAGAATCACATTGATAAGAGGAAATCATGAATCACGACAGATAACGCAAGTTTACGGCTTTTATGATGAGTGCTTACGCAAATACGGCAGTATAACAGTATGGCGATATTGCACAGAGATATTTGACTATTTATCGTTATCTGCTATCATTGACGGCAAGATCTTTTGTGTTCACGGTGGATTGTCGCCTAGTATTCAAACGTTAGATCAAATCCGGACTATCGACAGAAAGCAAGAAGTGAGTATTATGTTCCGTTTTTTTATTGTAATCCGTTTGTAACAATTGAATGGAACTGATGTGTTTATTTTGACATAGGAAAGTTTCCAATTTTAATATACTTGTTTGATTGCCTCACGTCTCCTCTTATGGCTATGTGGCTGTGAAAAACCTTCAAACTTGTTTTATTACGATTGATATTTTTATAAAAAGAATTTTATGAAAAGGATTTTAAGCTCATTTTTTTGGCTTTTCTTTTAACCTGTTTATTATCGTTATTATTTGAAGATTTCCATTCTCCAAGAAACGACATAATACTATAATATGATTTGTTTATCTTTAGTTATCTTGATATTGAAATTTTTCTCAGATTAGAATCACTCCTACAATTTCTAATATTATATATGCGGAATGGCAATGAGTTTGGATATTGAATTTCAATCTTCTGACAAACAACTGTTAGAGAATGGCTATTCAACATTCCTACAGTTCCAATATTAAAAATTAAATTTTATTATTTTTAAAGTTGATAAAATCATTGATACTTTAAGCGTATTAAAATTGAATACTTGTGGCTTAATGATGCAGGTTCCTCACGATGGGCCAATGTGCGATTTGCTATGGTCAGATCCCGAGGATACCCAAGGCTGGGGCGTGTCGCCGCGCGGCGCCGGTTACCTCTTTGGCAGCGACGTGGTGGCGCAGTTCAATTCCGCCAACGATATCGATATGATATGCCGGGCTCACCAGTTAGTAATGGAGGGCTACAAATGGCACTTTAACGAGACTGTACTGACCGTCTGGTCTGCGCCAAATTATTGTTACAGGCACGTAATAATCTGCACTTGCAATTTCTTTCTCTAGTAAAACTTTGCACATCGTCAGTTATATTCGTTTATTAACTTATACCTTTACTATAAACAGTGACTCATAAAACTGAATAAATGTACACAACTACCTACAACTGATTTATCTACAACTTAACTTTCGAAAAAAGGCAATCGATGAAAACGGCCTTTTAATATCAACAAATTACCTTTTATATTTGCAGATGTGGCAATGTAGCCGCGATACTGGAACTAAACGAGCATCTGCAGAGAGACTTCACGATATTCGAAGCGGCGCCGCAGGAAAGCCGCGGAATACCCAGCAAGAAGCCACAAGCAGACTACTTTTTATAAAAGCCGTTGTAGAGTACAAAAGGAGCCACCAGAATCACGTCAGAATTGAGATTTAAGGAATTTTGCTTTTTTTTCTCCTTCTTTTTCTCGCTCCTGGATTATTTTACGTTGATTGTGTAAAGAAGAGCAACTAAAGATGAGCGACTGATGCGAAAAAAATAATTTCCTATTGTTTTTTATGACGACATGATTTTCGTGATTACATTGGACTATTTATCGCACATTTGAATGAAACTGCGACAGTATGCTTGTAAGAAACTCCTGTAAAATAAAATAAAACTCGCCTCCAAATTTAAGCCGACGTGTGACGTTATCTTGCGCAACTTTAAAAAATTAAATTATACGAAAGATGGTTGGATAAAGAGAACGGAAGTTTAAACTTTATTTCTGCAGCAGGAAATTTCAATAAATTGTTCATTAAATAAGTAATTTTAATACTATACGGAATTCTAAGTTAATTCTCAATCGCGATTTGTCAATAAGTATAATTCTTGCTTGTAATAGTGATATTGAACTTTGGATACAAAGGTGAATATGATTCGTACGAACTTAGCCGATAATTAAAATTTTGATTTTTTTAAATACAATTTTCTGATTTAATCATATGTATTATTTGTATTAAGACTTGAAATTAATTGAAAAGATCAATTATTCGGATAATTTTAATTATTTTTACGATATGCAGTTAATCGACGTAAATAAATTGAACAAAATTTTTATATAAAATTATTTGTATTTTGTATGAAGTTTTAAAGTTTAATTTTAATTTTATTGAAATTCTCTGCTGCAATCAAGTCTAAACTCCTTTTCTTTTCAAACCGCTGTATAATTAATTAACGAGCTTTGACCAGTCATTTAGATAATTTAAATTAAATAGATAGCGGACTGTATTTCACGAACGCCAATCGCGCTCGACGACGCGGCGCCAGCCGCTGCCCGTGACGTCACCGCGGCGCCCGCGAATCGCGCGCCGCGCGGCCGGTCCCGGCCGGCTTTGGGAACGCGCGGACTGCGCGCAACCCCACCCATCGCGCCGTGACAAATGCAACTTTTACTTCCGGCTGCGTACACGGCCATCGCGCTTGGTTTCGTCGACTCTCCGTTCCGTTCTCTCCGGTGGTGTCCACGCGCTCCTCAGGTGCTTGATCTTTGCCGAACATCTCTCCACGTTCCTGCCCATCCACGACCGCCGCCTGCGCTCAGCAGTTCTATATCATCCGAGGGATCTCTTTTGTTTGTCGTATGTCCATCCAGAATCTCAACACATTCGGTGAGTAGCGAAACGCGCATTATCGCATCCTCTCCTCTCTACGCGCTTCCCTCCTTCCCCTCTGCCGCCCTCGCCCGTCTCCGCTCGCTCTTTCCTCTTCCTCTGGTCGCTCCCCCAACGTCGCCGTCGTTCCCTCCCGCGTGCTGCACGGTCGTCCTTCGCGCGAACGAGGGCGATAAAATAGCACGCCGCCGCCGCCGCTGTCTCGAGGGGCCCCCCTCAAGCCAAGATCAAAATGGCGATGGCGTTGCCTCGCGCGCGCTCCTCCGCGGCCCTCCTTGCATCATCCTGCGCAATCCCGCCCGCCCTGGGCATCGTCCCACGCCACGCGGATAATCTCACCCGTCTAATTATGCCCCTCCCCCCCTCTGTTTTCGCCTGTTCGCAGACCCCTTTGCAGATGCAATCAAGGGTTCAGACGATGACGTCCAGGACGGCCTCGTTCATATAAGGATCCAGCAGCGGAATGGTCGCAAAACCTTAACAACGGTGCAAGGACTCTCCTCGGAATATGACTTGAAGAAAATCGTGAGAGCATGTAAAAAGGTGAGTGTGCCACCTTTCCCCCCTCTTGCTTCTCCCCGCCACGTTTCAGAGGGGGAGGGAGAGACCTTCCTCCCCTCTTACCGAGCCTTTCTCCCGGCCTCACCGCCGTCGCCTCAGCTTCCTCTCTGTCATCTCCCCTCCTCCCTCTCTCCACCGCTATCCGCACCCTCTCCCCCACCACCGGTCGGTCAGGCAGAACTCTAAAAATAGGTCTGATGCAAACAATCACGATGATACAGGCTGGACAGATGTAGTTTTGCAAGTTCTAGGAATGCACGGCATTCAAGTGCATCTACAAGTGGTTTGACATATAGGGGGAACGGTCTTTGTTTCGATCTAAGGAACATTGATCATCGCCGATGACTTGGCTCTTTATAATCATTTTGTTCACACGAGGCGTTCGTAGTTCAATATTAAAAATTTCTACCGTTCTCATTTCTATTTGTACTTAAGTAAAACAAAAAAAATGTTTTTTTTTCCTGTATATTAAATATGTTTTTATGCAACAGTAGATAATTCTCAAAATTGATTTTATATCTTTGTGTTAATAGAAATAGAACTTTGACTTTCACATGTGGCAAAATTGGGTAGAAACAGATGTAGTTTTTAAATAAAATTTTTTTACCTTTTGTTTATTAGAAATGGTGTTATATCCTGATTTATACATATATTTTGTGATATCTATTAATTAATTTGATTTTTTTACACAATTTAAAAAATTTGTGACGCAACATTTTGGTACTTACAATATGACTGTTGCTTGAGAGTCATCGGGGTCGCGACGGAGAAGCTGTAACTGTCCGTAATTTATCTCACTTTGATAACGCGTTTATCTGTGAAAAGTTCTGAACACATTCCTTCGGGAGATAAAAGGAACCCAGCACTCCACGGGAAGTGAGTGTTGTCTAGATAAAGAGGTCCCTTGGAGGAGTGCCTGTCTCGATTTATCTGTTGCATTTCTCGTATTTTCACAGGAGTTCGCCTGCAATGGGACAGTAATAGAGCACCCGGAGTACGGGGAGGTGCTGCAGCTGCAGGGGGACCAACGAGAGAATATATGCCAGTGGCTCACAAAGTCTGGTCTGGCAAAACCTGACCAGCTCAAGGTCCATGGTTTTTAATCGACTAACAACAACAACCAATCACCATCCATGCCACGAACCAACAACAACAACAGCAGACAGCTCCGCCCCTCGTCAGCGCTACATGATCGTCTCAAATTGAATCTGTATATCACTCACTAAACTTCTCGTGGGATATCCCGATTATACTATCACACGTCAACATTATAAATATATATATATATACATCTATATATATACATATTATATATATACACACTTACACACACGCGCGCGCGCATATATATTTCAATAATTTAAAAAAAGAAGAAAGAAAAAACGGAAACAGTGAGGGAAAGATAAACAATAGAGGATAAAGGCGAATAAAAAAAAAGGAGGAAGAGAAAGAGTTGTAACGAAGGAAAGGGAGGATATAATAGGCGTTTAACTGGCGTATACCTATAGGCAATATTATCTATTCTAATCAGAAATCTTTTTCTCGAGATAAAAAAGAAAAGAAGCAATACGTCACACTGTAAGCCTTATGTTAGGTGATAGCGGGCTGCCAAGGTAGGAATTCCCCTGCCTCGCGGCGCGGTGGATAGGGCACACATCTGATTTTGATAAAACATCGTGGTGGAGGTGGAGAAGGAGGTGCGAGGTGGAGAGGCACGGATGAACGAGCGGTAATTAGCAGCGCCGGATGGATGTTCGTTCTTGCATTAGGTAGTATGTATCTGGGCGCGATAGACGTGTTCCGAGAAGGCGGCGAAGCTGTAGGTTGATCGTCTCGACTTTCTCCCTTCCTCGCGTCCACCACATACTCTCTTCTCTACATCCCTTCGTCTCTTGCAGGGGAAAGCTACAAGATTTTTCTTTTTTTTATTCCATTCTTTTTTTTACGTTTTATAATCGAAAATTAAGAGAGAGAGAAGGAGAGTAATCGCGCTTTGAGTGATTTGTTGAATATTTGTAGGACCGATTTTCGATTCTTCCTTTCGCGTTAGAGGACATCCCTCCTTCGCCCCTGTGTCACGTCTTCGCTCTTGCTTTCCACCCCCTTCCCCCCCTTTAAAGCAGTAATAATTAAATGACGAATTGTTTTTTTGAAATAATAATGAGAGTTAATAAAATGTGGCTGTTCTAGATAAATAAATGATGCGTAAGTGAATGAGATTATGGTACAACCATGTTCTCTTTCTCCAACCCCCTTTCCTTTTCGTTGTCCTAACTGTATAAAAATTCAACATCAGTTATGTAAAATATTCAGATATTTTAGAAAAATATTAATTCTTTTTGCTTATTTTCGATATAAAAGAAGTTTCATGGACAACAGAAAAGTTATATATGAACAACGGGGATACGTTACGCTTTCACTAATTAATATGAACCTTTTTTTTTTAAATTCTCGTACATTATGTGATAGAAAACAGAAAAACATACAATAAATAGACGTTGAGGAGTTTTATAGATATATCGAAATTGATATTTATCGCCATGTGATCACGAGTGTTCGTTAGACGCACGATGGTTCATAAAAAAGTCATTAGATAAGCTATCGTTTATCGATTACGTTTGTGCCATCCTCGTTACAATCGCCGTTTCGTAGAATCGTATAGTTACTACGAACTAATTTAGCAGGGAAGACACGATAGTGGGATGTGAGATGCTAGCAAGACAGATTTGAGAGTACAAAGTATTTTCCATATCTGGTCATGTCTCGTACGTGTAACAAATATTTTGTTATTTATTCGAGGAATATATAGAAAGAATCGCGGAGTGTGCAAAATATGCTAGTGATCGCGAAGAGTTGAAATTCGTTGGAAAAACGAACGTTCAATATGCGCGTCTGTTTGTTCAAAGGAAAAAAAAGAAGCGCTTGCTTTTCTAACGAGAATTGATGAAAAAAGAAATTGTTTAGAATTGGATAAAATAGAGAGCGAGACTGATGGAAAAAAAGTATAGAGAAAAATTGAAATTCTTAACGTATTTTTCTTGCTTGGAGAAACTAAAGAATTTCCTTTCAAGAGAGATAAGATACTCAAACATCGTACATTATCATTTGTGAATATCGTACTTTTTTCTACACTCTCATTTCTCCTTGTTTTGAAGATTAGAATAGCTTTTGTATTTTGATAAATCACATAAAGTCTAAATTTATAGGTCAATAGAATCAATAGACGAATAGGAAATAATTTATAATGAAGCAGGAAGAAAACAGAGAAGTCAATAAGAAAAGATAAGATGAATATCCTTAGTCCTTTCTTATTTTCTTTTACGATAAAAAAATTCAAATATCGAATTTTCGTCAAACACTCGATAGATGTTTTTTTAGGTTTCTCGAATGACAAGATAAATATTTTTAGCGGTCTTCTCTATTTTCTATTTCGATAAAAAAATTCAAATATTGAATTTTCGTCAAGCGCTTTCTTGATGGATCCCCCTTTTTAGAATTTTTCAAAAGGCAGATAAATATATTCTTAGCGTCTTTTTTTTTTATTAAAATAGAGTATGGCATTTTATTTTGACAAACGCTACCGTCTCTTAATTAAATTTCTCGAAGAAGGGCTAATAGAGGATAGATATCTTTAGATTTTTCGTAAATGTCAGAAAGAATTGAACGAGGAGGGCTGTCGGGGGAGATTCGGGCGCGGATTCAAAAGTGGCGCGCTCGAAGGGGGGATCGTGCGCGCGCCCCCCGGTGTCGGCGCGAGGCGGCACGGCGCGGCGGCGGGGCTGCGCGGCGCACCGCCGGGCCCCAGAATGCACCGCGCGCCACGGCATGTGCCTTTCCGCCATTTTGTAGTTTGCTCGAGAGACTGTGTTGAGTTCGATTCTTCCACCTCGGTAAGGAAACACCGTCGTGCGTAACGGCCGCGCGTTGATCCGCACGGCGCGGTGGGCCGTGGTACGCACAGGGCGGATCGTAACGCGCGCGTCGCGCAGCGTCGCGTATTCGCGTGAGGAACGTGCCGAAACTCGCCGCCGCCTGTCTCGCTAGCCTGTCGTGCTGCTGCTGCTGTGTGCTGCTGTGGTGTGCTGCTGCTGCTGCGTCGCGTATTTCGTCGCGCGCACGCGAGCGTGTGCGTGCGTGCGTGCGTGCGAGTGAGCGAGCGAGCGGAGCGGACGAGCGAGCGGGCAGGCGGGCGTACGACGGGCGAGAGAGCGATCGGGGCCCCGCGCGGACATCCGAGGCTCTAGAGTCGTCGGCCCATCGTCGGATCATCGAGGCCAGGCACGAGATATCCGAGAAACGAATTCTCGCAAACGCGCACCACGAGACGCCCCGCGCGCACAACGAATCCGAGAGCAAGCAACCAAGTGCCTACACGGGAGGGAGAGAGAGAGAGTGAGCCCTCTCTTTCTCTCTCTAGCCGAGAAACCGATCTGCACGAGGCCGTTCGAGAGATAGAGGGAGAGAGAGAGCGAAAGAGAGAGCGAGAGAGAGAGAAAGAGCGAGTGAGCGAGCGGACGGGCGAGCGAACGGGCAGGCACCTCGTAGCGCTAGATTCAGGGCACATGGGATCATCCGGGCCCGTCTCGAGATGAACGGTGATTTCGGTAACGACCATCCGTCCCATTCATCAAACCACGCAACCACCATGCGACCACATCATCATCGTCGGTGTTAGAAACGGGGGAAAAAAAAACACGCGCTCGTTGGGGGAAGTGTCGTAAAGTCTTGTCATCGCGCCCGCTTCACCTCGTCCTCGTCGACCGTCGCACCACCTCCTTATGTTGCTGTGCCGTTCCGCGCCGCATGCTAAACTCGCGCCGTACGTCGACACGTCGTTATCGCCGCTGTCGCCGTCCTTCATCTTCTCGTCCACGTCGCCGTCGTCATCGTCCTCGTCATCACGTCCGTGTACGTTTGTCCTCGTGCTCATCCTCGTCGTTGTCGTTGTCGTCGTCATCGTGTCGCGACGTGTTCACGTTCGTGTCCGGTTCGGTGAGCGGCTCGCCGCCACCGTGTCGTGGCCACGATCGCGCTATATTTGGCCGATAACGCGCCGCGCGCATCGCAACATATTGCGCGTCCTTCCGCGCGGGGATCCTCGTCTGGCGCGCCGCGGGCCGCCCCGGGCGGCCGTCGTCGTGGCACGTAGCCCGACGCACCGTCGCCGGGCCTCGCCGGAGGTACTCCTTGGCGCGTGCGAGGGGCAATTCGCCGACGCAACCTGTGTGACGGCGTACCACACGCCGTCGACCTCGACCTCGCGCGCGCGTGCATTTCCTCTCGATATCGTTTCCCCGTATCGTTCCGCGGCTACCACGTTGTTGCAATCCCTGTGAAAGCTCGCACGCGTGTTTTTTTTCCTCACGGTGCTCCACACTCTGTGGTCTCCGGATCCACGGTTGCGGTGCTCGCCTCCGTCGAATAGTGCTTCATATACGGTCGATTGATCCTCCTGTTCATCTTCTGTTCTGTGGGACACTATTGTCGTTGTCATGATAGTTTACCAGGATAAGGGCTGTCAGTGTTGTACAAGGCATCCTAGCTTAAGCACATAACATTATTGGTCGATTATATGATATATATATATATATATATATATATATATATATATATATGTATATATGTATGCATATGTATATATATAAATCATATTTAAAATTAAGTCAGGTGGCAATGCTCTGTAGAAAATAACTAGAAATATTCTGTAGATTGCAATGATTTTCTTAGACTACGAGTATGACTAGTTATTCTTGGAAGAGATGTTAATATATTTCACATATGTAGTCATTCTTCGTAGAGCTATTATTGAATATTAATCTGATTGATCGTTACATTAAATCGTAAGCATAAATGTATAAGAAAGTCATATATGATGTAATATCTGGACATATTGTTGCAGAGAGCCATATTTAATGCACTGAAATATGTAACTCACTGTCGGATTAGGTTAGAATTATAGATGAGCTATTTCTAACATTTTTAATTGCCATTTAAAGTTACATATACTGGACTAATTCAAAATATTTTATCAAAAATTTGATTTTTTTAACTTTATTTAAAGTAAATTGCCATTTTGCACAGAATTGATTACATCTATAAATTTATTAAGAGCAGCAAGCCACATTCTTCATTACAATATGTGTACTCTTGTACAACAAAAGTGAAATTACATGAAGGTTACAACATATCTACTCCCTTTTGCAGGGTACGTTTACATGAATGGGGACATCGGGAAGCTGCCACCAGGGGCGGTCTACCCAGCCACCCCTGAACCTCTGGGTCCACAGGTTGCGGGCGCAATTGGTGGTGGTGTGCCTAATATAGACTACGGAGTCATGAACGGTGCGCCGAGCGGCAGTGAATTGATACTTGACGCTGGTGTCGGCAGTCTGGAACCATCGCCCCAACACGCTATAAGCATGCACGGAGGTGCCGTCGGTTACAGCCCAGTAGACGTCGCCGCATTGGGCGACGCCTCCGCCGCCCCGCCGTCTGTGCCGATGACAGATCTAAATGTCCCCGGCATACCTCTGGAGACGCTTAAACAGATGCTCTCTACACAACTTGAGTACTACTTCTCCAGGTAATGAGTCCTTACATTTCCTCCAGAATCTCTTTCTCTTTCTCTCTCAACTTACAATTGCATGAAACTGCACAGTGATTTTGGAAATACATATATTTGCATTAATTATATATATCAGTGATATATATGTATTTATTGTTTCCGAAACGGGTTAACACAATCCTACCCACCATACTCTTTCCACACTTGTAACCTTTGAGCAATATATCTTTTATCAATATAACATAAATTCAATATTAAGGAACAGGCTTGAACCTGGGATCCTTCTGATTATGAGCTGACCGCTTTCACATAGAGTCATTTATCACCCAAATTTATATTGATTTGATTTTCCTAATCTTAAAAAGTGACCTTTGATCACGTGTTATTATGTTTATATTATTATATTTATGTGATGATTAAATAAGACTACTAATCGATAACTGTGTAGTACATTTGGTAACTAAATTTTTAGTCAAGTAGAAAGAAAGAAAAGAAATAATTTAATGGAATTTTAATAATCTTAAAATAATTCATACTTATATATATATATATATATATATATATGTACATATAAAAAATTAAAGGGTCAAAACTATATATTAATTAATGCCTGAATACACAACTTATTTTTTTTTACAATAATTATTACGTATAATTATATTATTACGTATTATTACGTACATTATTACGTATAATTATATTATATTACATATAATTATTGTTAAAACTAAATTATTGTTAAAAATCTACTTTGATCTACTTTGGATAGAAAAAAATTTCTAAAATATTTTTGCCAAAAAACAATGATTTTTTCATTGAGCATCGCATACATTTCCTTGTCATATGCAATTAACATGCAAATTGCATAAGCACACGCACATATAAGAGAATGTATGTGACAAGATATGATAATTCAGAATGAACAATATAATGTTTGTCTTTCCAGAGAGAATTTAGCCAACGATACCTATTTGTTGTCGCAAATGGATAACGATCAATATGTGCCGATATGGACGGTAGCGAATTTTAATCAAGTGAAAAAACTGACGAAAGATATTAAACTCATAACGGAGGTCCTGAAGGAGTCTCCCAATGTTCAAGTTGATGAGGAGGGGCAGAAAGTGAGGCCCAATCATAAACGATGTATCGTGATACTTCGCGAGATACCAGATAGCACTCCGCTGGAAGACGTGAAGGTTTGTCCCCGACGTCTATTTTACAATAATCATACAAAGCGGCCAAGCCTCCGGCTCTTTAATTCACTTGAATTCTTCATTGTAGAATTTATTTTCTGGGGAGGGATGCCCGAGAATTATTTCCTGCGAGTTTGCTCACAATAGTTCGTGGTACGTGACATTCGAGTCCGACGAGGATGCTCAAAAGGCCTACCGGTTTTTACGCGAGGAGGTTCGAGAATTTCAGGTGAGTTTGCAATCTCGGGGATGCTCCGTTATTAATTTCGTTCGAGTAACTGGGCGTAACGGAGTAAATATTTATCAATGATTTTCGATGATTCATCGAGTTCATAGCTATATTTAGCTTCAATTAGCAGGCTATCGTGGAGCTATAATTGGAGATTTATCGCTGTAGCTATAAATAATTGCTGCGAATCTAAGTCCGTAATTTCTAATTCCGTTTGTTTAATCCAGGGAAAGCCGATAATGGCGAGAATCAAAGCTAAACCAATGAACAGGCTACCGATACACACTGTGGCCGGTGTGAGTGGTATAAAGAACGGCTACAGAACTCCACCCCCTCCCCCTGTCTATGATCCGAGTAGTTACACGACTGGTCAGCAACGGTTTCTCTATACCAATGGCACGACCATGCCTCAGACAACTATGCCGGCGTATGCGAACCAGGTTGTTTATGTAAGTGTGCAAATTAGAAATTCTTCCCGCGACAATGCGCATAAAACTCTCCTAGTATTTTGAATGAATAATAATTCGTCGTGTGTAAGGAAGAAGCTGTTGTAAAAATGTTTCTTCATATTTCTTTTTCAGCAACCGTTCTATCCGGCCAGTATGATGCCTTGGGGGCCAACTAGTCCCGCTTATTTCGAGATGTCCAATGTCTTTACGATGAACGGAATCACGCCGCACAACACGTTCACGCGTTCGAACACGAGATACAATCCTCGACATAGGTAAGAGCCTGGCATTTTCACATTACTTTTATAGAAATTATATTTTTCGAACAGATCTCTCGGTATCTGAAAATTCTTTTTTTTTTATATATACATAGGAATAGACAGAGAAACGGCTCCGATCGAAGCTGCTTAATAGACCCGGCCAATCCCAGTAACAACAATAACAATCACCACCACCATCATCATCACCATCACCACCACCACCATCAGCCGTCGTCTATGCCACCGCTGAGTAATCGCAGCTCTCACCCGCCTATGACCGGCGGTGGTGGTGGTGGAAACAATAGCGTGTCCTTGAGCTCCTCCACGTCCACTTACCACCACGCTTCGAGTTTACCCCCTACGAAACCGCCTGCCTCCTCGTCCTCATCTTCCTATCAGTCCGGCACAAAGTTCCATTCATCGTCGTCAGCCGTGTCGTCTGTCGAGCACGCAAAGGGAGCTTCCTCCTCGTTGTCCTCCGCGCAGGACCAGGACGCAACGGCGGCGGTCGAGCCCTCCGCCGCGTCCGCCACTTCGGCGCCTTCGTTCACCCGCCACCGTATCCATCGCAGGACCAAAGACCAGGACGCGAAAGTAGCCGCCGGAAACAACCACCCGCTGCCGGCGATCAAGGAGTCCCTGCCGGCGAGCGGTGGCAGCGGGAGCAACAGCAACTGCGGCGGCGGCCGCAGTAGCGGCGTGCAGTTCGACCTCGAGGCAGCCGCCTTTCCGCCCCTGCCCGGCCTTGACACCGATCACGGCAAAGCGTCGTCCGACGTGGGCACCGGCGGCAACGCCGGCGCCGTCGGCATGGAGTCTTCATCGCAGAATCGATTGTCCGACGTCGTCAAGGGTACTGCCAAGCTCAAGGCCGTTGTCAAGGACAAGGAAAGTGGTAACCAGCCGCAACCTCAGCAGCAACAGCAGCAGCAACCTGCCGCAGCGCCTGCGCCAGCAGCGGCGAGCACCGCCAGTAGATCCGCTAGTCCTGGAGCGAGTACCGGAGCGGAGGCACAGGGTAACGTCGCCGCCGCCGCCGCTGCCGCATCGATGAATTCTGCGAACGCTACGCATATCCTTAATCCGCCGACGGTCAACAACGAGAATACGTCGTCGGCCGACGCTGCCGCGCTCAGCACCGTCGCGCTCACTCCCCCGTCATCTCCTGATAAGTGAGTGGGATTTTTAATTATACGCTCGCTCGGTGTAACGGTGTTTCGGGCAGTTGCGGAGAGTTGCGTTGAGTTCGCGAATTGACTTGTGGCTGAATTAACGAACTGTCTGTTTCAATCTGCGTTGGAGATGTGTTATGATTTTTGGGAAAAGAAAAAAAAGAATAGATTCTTTCTAATGGATCTATAATACCTTTTTATCCGACGACGATTAATGTACATAGTTTCGTCGTGAAGTGTGGAAATGATTCGGTCATACGAATATATATATTTTTTTAATCTTTTTCTCCAACGAGACCTTGCATTTTTTGCTCGTTCGATACGTATGCGTATGAAACAGCCGATGAGCTTCATTGAATTCATTTTGTTTTTTTTTTTGTTTTTGTAAGTAAAGTCGCTATTTAACTCTTGATTACAAAAGCGACAAAACGGCTGTCTTGTTCCAAAGTACGCGACGAAACTTTCCGCTCTCCCAATACACATACATACGTGTACATATATGTATATGCGCGCTACTGCGCAAAGAGAGAGGGAGAATGATAGAGAGAGAGAGAGAGAGAGAGAGAGAGTAAGAGAGTGAAAAGTTCTCGGTCCTTGAATCGTTAACCTTTTATAGGACCGTTTTATTTTAATTTTACTTGTAATTCATTTTAGTTTTATCCCTTTTTAAGCTGATTTCTTTATTTCTTTTCCGTTTGTAATGATTTTTTCTTGAAAGATATTTACATGATTAACGAGGTTTTGCATTGAAAAACCAGTGAATTGTATTGCCGTGTTGTCGAATCCTTGTGTTTATGAAAATTACGTTTATTCCTTCTCTTTTCTTTTTTTTTTTTTATATAGATAAGTGTGTTCATTCTATATGTAGATCGTCATAAAATCGCGTAATTTAAAATTTTGATTAAATTGATTAAAAACGTCGCTCGAGATTCACTTCGATTTTGTCCGCGAGATTGAGTTAATAACATCCCGTTTAAGCGTAGCAAATTTCTTTTCTCTTATGCGATCGAAGACAGCTGATTGCTTTTCGTTGCTTTTAGTCCTGTAAATGGTTATTATGACGGTTTTTACTACTTTGCACTCTACTTTTTGCGAGAAGGATATGTGTGTACAGAATTTTAAACATTTATATTTGTACCTAATCGTTGATTACTAATTATACTTGACGCATAGAAAGCAAACGCGCGAGTTCAGGGTGGGAGGGAGGAAGGAGGGGGTCATATAGTCAAATTCCGTTTCAAAATGAGGGATTCAGCTGGTCTCCGTAAAACGGATTCCTGAAAATTTGTGTTTATACTCTTGTTATAATATCCTTGGATCGGGCGGGACCGTTGTAATGTCGTATCCTCCGCAATTCCACATTGGAGATTCTATTCTTCGGATTCTTCCGTCGTACCCGCTGTATCTTTGGGTCCTTAGCCTTCTCAGGAGGATCTTCAATTTCTTCTCTTTAAGAGATCAGTCGACGACTGATCTAAAAAAGATCTAAGGATCCAAGGATACCGGCGTCACGGGTTTACGTACCCAGAGGAGTATCGTAAAAGGAGGAACCACATTATTAGAGTTAAAGCTCGAGCTCTAAACTTCTTCACAAGATGTAGCGCACATGCTTGCGATCGAGATTCGGCCTCGAGGTTAGTCAGCTCGATAACGTGGATCCTCCTTGATTTATGAACCTACAGGAATGCCGGATTATTCGGTTCGTTATTGTTGTTGTTGTTGTTGCTGTGTTGTTGGCTGCATTATGTGCTATGTTGTTTTGTGAATGACGGACATTGTGTTTTCTCCTTCCCGCACGACCGACGTAGTTCGGGGGACGCGATCGATCGCACGCCCACGTCGGTCGATCTTTGTTACCTGGGAGGAAGGAAGGGTGGGAGAAGGGAGATCTTTCCTTTTTCTCATCGAAAAGATGTGCGAAAGTCGAAGCTTTCTTTCCATCGCCATAGTTAAAAAGAATAATGTTACTAACTATTTAATTATCCTTCGAGTTACCGGGGTAGCCTTATGTCCGCCTTACTCTCGCCTTACTTTCTTTCGGTTTTCTTTTCGTATTTAAACGCGTATGTTTTATCGTGGGGAATCACGCGAAAGTCAAGGATCTAAGAACGCGCGACTTTGTGAGATTCGAAATACGGGGATTCGAGTTGAGTACGTAGATTTTCCAAGTTTCCGAGACTCGAGACTGTATGTACACTCGCTCACTAAAAGGTTGCGACACTTTTTTTTTATAGGTTTCTAATTTATATTTAATATACGTAATATATACTTTATAGATAACTAATATTTTGCAAATGCAAACCACGATGTACTATCTTTAGTCTAAAGGCAGTATAACACCAATCGTGGTCCGCATTTGCAAAATATTAATGCGTTTTGAAACCTATAAAAAAGAAAGTGTCGCAACCTTTTAGTGAGCGAGTGTACATTCTTCACGGTCGTTCTTCAGCGAGAATGCCGATGTGAAGATGGTTTTTTTGTAGAGTTTTTTTATTTAATCCTGAAAAAAAACTAACATTCTCGAATCTTTTAAATTGTTAGATCTTGAGCTATGCGCGCGAACTTCTCACTCTTCGTTTATCTCTTACCGTTGAAATAAAATAAATTAATTAGATGTACTCGCAATATTATAATTTGCCATTTTCTTCTTATCGATAATTTCGTCGTTATCATCGCCTTTCTGATTCTGACGTTTTGGGAATTTTTTTTATTTTGTTTATCATAAGGTCTTCTGAATATTACCTTTCTCCTTTGTATGAGTTCTATAAGCATGCTCTATAAATCCGGTGCATAAGTAAGGGTTTTGCGGTATCATGGATTCTTTTAGACGCTTTTTAGTTTTCTTGAGTGTAGACCTCTTTCGTCCCTGGATCATTGAACCACTCGACCACCTTACCTCCAACCCTGTTCTTCGAGGACGAGACTCTGCTTCCGTGTCGTCCAGACGTAATTCGGTCCTCGAATTTAATAGATTTTACACGTTTCAGTTACTAGACACTCAGACCTCTGTGCCCTTGGTGCATTCGGTATTCGAGTAAATACAGGATTCTCGGATGTCATTACATCTTTCATCTCTTCAGCAGCTCCCATAACGTTTCTCGTATTCGCAAAGTTTCGATTGCGAATTTTTTTAAGACACACTTCAGAGAGCCCCAACCCGAAGATGTGAGGATCGAGTTTACGCGAAGCTAAATACTGCCCAAGGAGATTTGCGAGGATCCTGGAGGCGCCTAAAAACGAGAGAATATTCGAATTATTTTTCTAAGGATGTCTAAATTCAAGGATCCATCTAAGAATCCTAGTGTTCAATGATCGAGGGACCTGTGAGAGAACCTATCCCTTTCGATATGAGAGTACAGCACATACGCCGCATATATTCCGCCGATTGAAATCAGCATTAAAACATCTATTGCTAAGCGCACTAGAACGCTACACGTGTGTGCGGGAATGTATGCGGTATTATTGTGGTATGAGACACTTATTTCTCTTCTGGCCTGTACTACTTTTGCGGCAGATAAACGATAAAAACGATTGAATAGGGATGTACGATAAAGTAACATTACTTTTCAGGGTTTTCTAATATATTATGATTATTATTTGATTATTATATTATTGCTATTGTCATTATTATTATAAATTTTTAATATTAAGATTATTATTATTATTAATTATTATTGTTCGGTTTCAAGTTACTCGTAAAGGCATTTTGATTATGAAATTTTTCTCTAGCTCATATAATTCTAACGTTTACTAAGTTAAGTTATGATTCTCTTTACGTGGACTGCAAAATGAATAATATAAAACGGAAGCAACGAGAAAAAACACACATACACGGTCTCAGCATGGTATCTGGTGCACCTTTGGTAAAATGACTATAGTTGCATTGTCAGCGATGAAACTAGAAGTTAATAAACAATGTGTATACTGATGTTTGTTAATCGTGTCTTGCGATATTGCAAAAAACTCCTTCTCTTTTGCATCCCTCGATCGTTCGCGGGCGGTTCTCGTGAAATGAATTTTTACTTCTTATCTTACTATTTATTTTTCTAAGAAATTCACATTATGTTACAAATAATCAGATTCCTTAACTATGTTTCATCGCCAGATTCTTTTGTAGTCAAAGACTTGCATTCTGGGATTTATCGGATAATTCTGGGAAAATTAAATTTTCTTTAAACTTACTACAAGTTTCAGTTTTTTTTTTTTAATTTTCTTCTTTCTTCTGGGTATAATTGAGTTCTCACGTTTTCGAAATTTCTTTGAGCATTCCTGGAATCATGGGATCGAGAATCGCCTACACGAACTGATTCTTTCTCACTGTGCATGAACGAAGTGGATATGCGGTGCGGGAATAACAGTTACCAGCGTGCGCGTTTAGTATTTGATGGTGCACGTAATAGAGAGAGTTGACATTATATACGCTTAGTATCGCAATGAGCATTGATTTCTGATCTTTGAGCTACGGTTTCGCAAATCGATGTTTTTTTTTTTTGTATAAACTTTATAAATACACATGCATGCTTCCGCGATGTGTGAGGACGATGTGCAACGGTCTCTCGACGTGTCCAAGGATTTAAGAATATAAAAAAATTTAAATATCTCGCTAGGTGTCTACAGACCTTTGAGATACCTAAATTTTCCCGGGGACATGTATTCCTCGAAGGTTGTGAAGCCCCCACAGTGTATGATTCAAGGATGACGAAATGGGAATCTATCTCTGAGAATCCAAAGGATTCGCATCGAGGATATCGTTTCGTTGATAGAAAAATGACACAAGTAAAAAAATTAGTGTCTTTGAGATGACGGAAGGAAAATCGAGACTAAAGACTTAATATTTTTGTCATAATTTTATTGTAATACAATTTATACGTTAAAGAATACATTATAATTGAAAGTATAACATGGAAAGAAAGTAAGATTATAAAAATTGCATATTTACTATTTTAATTAAAATGTCCAAAATTTGGAATGTTAAAATGCAGTACTGAAAAGCTGTCAATTTTGAGATGCTTTTCTATCGATACAACCGATATATCTCTGCGGATCCTGGAGATCTCAGTATAGCTAAAGTAAGCATGTGCTAGTCTTTTACCACTGACAATGCACCGCTGACAGATCTATAAAGACTGACGACTCGAACATGGTGAACGGTGTGGACGACGCTGTAGTTGCGAATACGCACCTGCCGGCACTGGCCACGTCGACGATAACGACGGCTACGACGACGACAACGGCGACGACGGCGACGTCGGCCGCGGCGACCACGGACGATGCCGAGACGGTGACCAGGTGCGACTGTAACAACGTCGTCGTCGTCCCTCCTCCTACTGCCTCTTCACAGAACTCCCAATCGCAAACTGGAGTGGCCTCTGCCTTCCCTATAGTAAGTATTTTGTTATTTCTCTCTCGAGAGAACTTTTGCTACTAGTTTGAAAGAGCGCCTCGGACTCTCTAAGATCTTTGAGGGAATTTAAGCATAAAGTAGTAAAAAGGAACGTAAATGTGTTAGAAGATGTAAGGAGGCAGATCTAAAAATTCTGTGATTTGAAATGAGGAGGTGACAGGTGGAAAAGTAATTAAACGTTAGGAATCCAGAAATGAAAAATTTCAAAGATGCAAATTAAAAAATTAAAATTTGTTACATCTTTATTATAGAAATTTATAAATGTATAAATAGATTATGAATTTGTAAAAGTAAGATTTTAATTAAATAAATAAGCAAATGTAAAGATTCTAAAAGTATAAATGATAATTTGAAAATCATTGAATGCTGTAGATGATATGTATAAAATTTGAATTTTAAATTTTTCTATAAATTTAATCTGAACTTGGCATTTTGTATATACATGGCGATTCTTACACTCTACAGAATAATGGATATTTTTATAAATACCGCGTGCTAATGAATATTTTGTTTTCGCAGGATCTTACGAGGCCAAGCTATGCCCAAGTAGCGCAACATTGCCGTGAGCTACCTTGTACAAAACACAAAACAGATGAGAGAGATAGAAATGTTTAAAAGCTGCACGTAAGTATCTTATTTTTTCTTCAAATAATTTCTACAGATTCTCTTTTAAAGAAGCTACGCACGTGGAGAGGAAAACGTCAATAAGTTTAATCTTGCGAATAATTAAGTATTATAAGTGTATTCACATAGTATTATAAATTAGTTTTCCATGAGTCTTAAAATTTTTTTCAAGAGGGAGTTATCAGTTTTTCATAAGAATTTCTTACAATTGTGTTAAAAAAATTGAAAATATTAATTTGCAATTAGAGAATTTTGCAAGAATATAAAGAGTAGTTAAAGATACATGCTTTTTAAAAATATCAAGCTTTTTAAAAATCCACGTGTATATTTAAAGAAACCTTTACTTTTTTCCATTACCATTTTGTATTCTGAGATCTTTTTAAAACATGGTCTCAATTACCTTGGATCTTCGAAAATTCGTATAAAAATATTTTTCCAAATCCATAAATTTCCGATCCTCGTAAGGGGCAATCGGCTCGGAAAATGTCGAAAGTACTCACTTCTCCGTAAAAGAGAAACGTCTGCAACAGTGCGTATATTTTGTTCCTTTATATGCCACGAAGGTGACGACGGAAGGAAGAAGACACCATGAGCGGCGGATGCAGCTTAGATATAACGAAGCAAGAAGCCAAAATCTATCGATTACCACGCGTCAACGGGGTAATTAAACGATAATTAGCTGTGCTATATGTGCTATGACGTCATCGCCATCTTCTCGGGGTCGGATCGGATCGAGAATCAGGATATCGGAGCTCGCCGCTGCTTTCACCTACCTATCTACCCCCCCGGTACTCCCTTCTCAAACCGACGCCGTCACGTGCTGCAGGCGTGAGGAAGAGAGAACTTTTTACATTGTACAGTGACGTCTCGCCTACGATCAACGATCGATCGATCGACGAATCGATCAAGAGAGAGAAAGAGAGAGAGAGAGAGAGAGAGAGAGAGAGATTGAATGAGCGATAGTGTGTGTGTACGTGTGTGTGAAAATGTGTAAGACTCCGCTGCGCGCTATTATAGCGGCGCATTCGCAGGCGCTACTATTATATACAGGGTGATCGGAGAGTCCTGCGGGGCAGGTTTGTCGCCGCGGTTTGATGATGTTGATGGTCTTGCCGATATATATTTGCTTAATCGGCGCACAGTTGTTTTATTCGCTTTAATGCAATTTGCGGAATGCAATGATTCGATTGTAGTTTATTCGCGATTGGAGGACGTAAAAGATTTAAAAGTCTTGAGAAAATTTATTAAAAATTCGTTATAGGATTTAAGAATCTGATGTGCTAAATATAACGCGTTAATTGGACGAGAGGGAACGGCCACGGTTGGCAGAAGCCACGGGAGCGAGTGAGCGCTTAAGTCAATCTGCTGGCCAATGAGAATTATTAGGTTGGCAAAAAGAGATCGACAAGAGGAGCGACTGAGGAAAATCTAATTGAGAATCTAAGATTTCACGCACGTGTAAATGTTAATAAACAAATTGAGGTGTGCGCGGAATGAAATCATTTCACAATTTTGATTTCTTAAAGTGTGATATATATATATATATATATATACGCTCTTGAGATCTCGGATTTTCGATTTTTTCTTTTTTTTTCTTTTTTTTCCTTTTTTTTTTTCGTTTTTCTCAGCTCCGTGAGCTGCTCTTCGAGCTTTTATTACCGATCTTTACTCTTACTTGAGTTTCAATATAGACGATATAATACAGTTTTGAGTGTACCTAATAATGTTTGATAAGCTTTAGTTTTAAGACTTTATTAATTGGTAAGGAATCTTAATTAATAACAAATATATATGTATAGATCTAAAGAATTTGTGACTCTAAAAATTCAAGGATATGAGATGTGTAAATGATTGTCTAGAATATGCCTCGGATAAACGCGGGAGTGTGTTATGACGCACGACGTTTTAAAGAAAGAAAGAAAGAAAGCGGTTTTTCTCTCGACAGCACCAAGCGCCACGGCTGCGCGGCTTCCCGATCACCCGGTACATCGCGCAAGAGAAGAGTATTGTTATATCGTTTTTGGTTCTGTGATTGAGGTATATATTTGTTAGCTTGTAAAAAAAAACGCGTTAAAGAGATAAGATTATATTAACTCTTTTAAAGGGAGAAACCCCTTCCCCCCGCCCCTCCTTCGCGCGTGCCGGGCCGTAAATATTATTAACCGGGATGAAAACACACATGTCTATTAGATATATAATTATATATATTTGTGCCAAAAAACAAAAAAAAAACACATTGCTTGACGAAATCTCCCGAAATGTGCAACGAAGTGGACGCCGAAATCAGTTGAGATTCTCGCCAAGTGGAAAGTGCGGGTGTGGAATCCCTCCCCCCCCCTCCCATAAGAAATTCCGCTCTCTTCCACGTTTCTCATCTTTTACGCAAAAAAAAGTTAAAAATAACGAGAGGAGAACGAGAGAGAGAGAGAGAGATTTGTATTTTGTAAACGGAGGAGGCTACGAGATGATGTGTGTACGAGATTATGCGTGATTCATGCGACGTTATTGATGACGAATAATTATGATGATGATGAGGAGGAGGTGAGGGAGGAGGACGGTCGAGAAGCATACGAATTCTTGTTTTATGCGGCTAAAACAAGTGTGCGAGAAACTTGTCGCGGAGAAAATCGGCGGTGATACCGGATCTGTAAGATTTTTTATAAACCGAGGACGAGGAGGAAGGGCGATTGGGGAATGATCTTGGAGGAGGATATCGTTGCCGGTGCATTTCTCGTAAGAGATACCTTGCGTACTTTACAGTGTAATTACGATACATTTAATGAGCATTTTAATTAATATACCGTTGGCAAACGTGCATTGCATCGTGGTATCGTAATACGCGAGACGCAGGCGCGTAATGATGAGAAGAGGAGGAACGGATTAAATTCTTGTGTAGAGAATTTTGTATCGCGGTTGTGCTTGACGAGGTCTCTCGAGATACGCAACGAAAACGGGGCGCGTACATCGTACTCGCCTTTCCCGCATTAGTTTTACATTGGATATTTTTATACAGATGTATCTCTCTCCGCCTTGATTATTCCTCAATTTGTCGATCATCCACTTTGAGCACGCCGACGTTTAAAGTGGATTCCAAATTCATTTTTGTCACTGAAATCCTTTAAATTTGAATCTTTGCGAGTTCCGAAATACTTTCGGATCTCCCCCCCCCCCCCGAGGATTCTCCTGTGGAGTTTCGCACTTCGAAGTCTCGTCATGGATTCCATCTCTGTTCCTCTACCCTGTTTTGATTGTTTTTGACCTTTTTGATTTCCTTCTCGCTTATTTCCAATGAAAAATTCTTAAAAAAAACTTCCTCCAAAATTTTCTTAGATTATGTCTTTCGGACCCGCATGTTGTTTCGACGGTCCCAGTTCTCTTCTTTCCTCGTTTTTTTTTCTTTCTTTTGCGATTCCACCATTCAATCAGCTCTCTCTTTCTCTCTTAATCGCCACAATTTGTTGCCCGATTTTCCGCCCGCCTCGACAACGCGAATGTTCTCCGAAAAACGTACCCGGATATTTGTCAATTTCACACTTGGACCTCGCGTTGCTTCGTCGGGATAAGTAACTCCAATCCTCTCTCTTACATCGCGATTCCATTCATCCATCCATTTTTTCAATTTGTTCAATTTCCCATCGTCCAATTATGATTCCGTTATTCTTCCGTCTTGTTCGCCCACAGTTGGCTTGCGAGTGAAACACTGCGAATGAGCGTCGTTCGTTCTCACGGTGGTCATCGTCGATTTCGGAGACTATCGGGAGCGGCCACTTCCGATCTGCGTAAAACTCGACCCTCTCCCCTTTTTAACTAATCGCCCATTATACTCTTCGCTGCGTCGCGATCAGATTTTATTTTATTTTATTTTATTTTTTTTGTTAGATTATTATTTCTATTTCGACCCTCTGACCATGAAGTGCACTGCGACTTTTAGAAATCTTAGGGTCACATTTTTATTCGGCTGAGAGAGAAAGAGAGAGAGAAAGGAGAGAATGAAAAGAGAGAGATGTGTGCGAGAGAATATGCTAATTCGGAGTAGCTAGTGTTGCGAGAATCGGGACGACTAATTGAGCACGCATTTAAGTGCCTCAAAAAAGTATGTTGTATATTATTGATTATCTCTATTACCACTATTAATATTAATTAGTACTATTGATTGCTCTATTATATTATTATCATCATTATTTTATTATTATATTATTATTATTATTATTATAAGCAGGAGCTTTTGGCTTTAGGTGTTACGATGATGCATATGTACCTACACACGTACACACACATACATACATACATACATATATACATACATCCACAAATACACGTTATAGAAAGTAAAAAAAAACTAGAAAAAGGATGTGAAAGAAATAGAAAGGACATTACTAAATAAATAGATACACATATATATATATATATATATACATATATATTAATACATATGTATATATATATTTATTTATTTGTTAATGATTTCGGCCTTCCATATTCAGAACGTGCTTTTATCAATAAAAGCGCTTTTAAGTATATAGTTTATATCACATACATTACATGTTTAAAAGCACTTTTATGAAAATAACGCCGTGCGTTCCGAACACGGGCCGACGCGTATGCGAATTTGTGAATTGACCAAGCGTAACGAAAAAAGATTATATATATATATATATATATAAAGACACGGAAAAAGGATGAAAAATCGATCTTCTGCGAATGGGATGCAACAAGTTAACGTTGTGTTGAACGTACATACTGCTATACTTTGAACTCTACGATGCTGCCGTTTCATTTATACACACGTACATACATACACAGGGCGTTTCGAAATAGGATTGTCAGCTGTTTCTGTTAATATTGAGTTGAATAAATCAAATAAATGATATGTCGGACAAATATCGACTCTCAGAGGATCGTATATCGTGCTGGAAAGATATTCCCCTGGATTCTTGCGATTTGTCACGGAATTAACGAAGTTGATCGTGCACATTTGAAAGAAAAAATATATATATATATTTTATATACTTACATACATAAAAATATATAAATTTATATATAAATTATATATATATATATATATATTTATAAATTTATATATGAATTTATATATGAATATATTTAATATTATAATATTGGACGTATCAAATTCTCTCAGATTAATCGTATATTTTTGAACTATTTGAGAATCAGAGATCATTAAAGATCAGGACCCTCATAGATGGCGATTGAAAAAGCTGGGAGTTTTAAAATTCCGTAACAGAGATATGTCCATGTAGTCGGATGACAACAAGAACATTACATGCAGTCACGCGCTGCCGCTGTGTTATGATACGAGCGACGACCGGCAAAACACTCAAAATTCCAAAGACCGTTCAACAGGAGCGCGTGAGAAGGATCGAAGGCTCAAGTATGCGCGAGTCCAACGTCCGAGATGATGAATTAAAGGAAAAAAAAACGGCTAACGAATTAAAAAAAAACCCAGATAATTCGAGGAGAAGGAGTTGCAGATTCGAACGTTCGTCACGCGGAATCGATGCGGGCTTTTTCCCCGGGAAGTCGCCAAGAAACCAGGAAATATGCCGAGGGATGATCTTTCGCCGTGCGATTCTCTGGAAATCACACTTAACGTAATAACACGTCGTCCGCTGCGTATGAAAATATTCTGCGAGAGAGAGAAAGCGATATATATATATATATACATATTGTATATCCCAGAGTCTCCGCATCCGCGAAGCGTCGTCCGAGAGGAGTAGCGGATGCGCGCCCAGGGAAAAATAAAAAAATGATCGATCGTCGATCGTCCGATGAACCGCCGGAAGCGCACCGGATTGGGGCGGTGTGGATCGTTTCAATTCGCACACGTTGTGCTCTAGGCGAGTCCTAAAGCGCGTTTCACTAAGGATTATAATATAAAGAGAGAGAGGCGAGATATACAGATTATAAATATATATATATATATACATATATATTTTTTTTTTCAACGAACCATGCGACGGTTCTCTCCGGGATGCGGTTCTCCGCTTCGCCGCCACTCTCCAACGATGTAGTAAAATATATTCAATGTATATATATTATATACGCAAAACAATATGTATACTACTACACACACACATACACACACACACACACACACAAAAGAAAAAAAAACGGGATAGGCTAAGCATTAATTAATACATACGTTGATGTATGAGTGCGTAATGGTAATGTCGCGATGTGTGCGTTTCACGATCCCTACATTGCGACCCTCGCGTCGCCGGATTTGTAAGGGCGGGGGAGGGGGAGGGGGGAGAGAAAAAAATAGCGATTCGCGTAATCGCGCGCCTTGTCGTCACACACATGTAAACACGCGCGTGCGACTCTTAACGACTCTGTCAGACGACCATCAGTTCGATTTCCTTTCCTCTGGATTAACACGGGTTCTCTTTGGTTCTATAATATATTGTATTTTCCGTTTGTCCTCTTCTTCTTCTTCTCCTCTGTATTTCACGTACATACACGCAGAAAAAAAAAATAAAACGCGCGTCTCGTTTGTTGCTTTCTGTTTTTATTGTTACACGTGCGCGCGCGCGGTGTAATTGTAGCTGCGGCTGAACGAAAATTTTTTAGGACCGAGGGATCTACGATGCCTATAGATATTAATTGCAGGAGAGAAACGGAGCGGTGCGAAGGAAAGTGCAGAAATATTGGATCCGTTTGATTAACAGTGTTTCTTGAATCTTAAATCGAGTTAGGATAAAGAAAGGGCGAGAGATAGAGAGAAGGAAATCAGTAAGCTATTGTGGAAGTACTTTGCCCGTTAATTTATACGCATTACACATAATTGTGTGCTATTTATGTGACTTGTAGATCCACGTTGAAATTTGAGTTTTAGTCTCTTAACGGACTGAGCCTTCAGATCCGCCCGGGTCGCGCAAATCTTTTTTTTTTTTTTTTTTTTAGGCAATCCTCGAAAATTCCGGCAAATTCGGTGTTGCGCGTAAACAAAATGAGGGTTCCACGAAAAATTGCACTGCGTGAGAGCGATAATGAAACGTACTTCGATTCCGCAATTGTCCAGCGGGATCGAGTCGCGTCGCGGCAAAAAACTCCGACAATTGTGTCGATTAATTATCAAACGGAAAGGGGAAACAGGAAAAAAATACAATAGCAACGTTTCGTTGACGCATCAGGATAAGCTGTGATTATATAAAATGAAAAAAAAAATGAAATATGAAGAAAACAGAACCGGAGCAAGAGCAGGACGCAACAGGATGTGTATTCCTAGAAAGTCTGATTTTGTAAACTATTCTACGAGGAAAACACTTGTGTATTATATATATATGATATGCGATATATATGATATGATATATGATATGATCTATGACGTTTGTTTATTACTATGTAAAGTGACAGATTTCGAAATTAAACATTAATTACTGTTAGTAGCTGCGTTTTGGATCTATTTTCTCTTTTTTTTCTTTTTAAAAGCCCTATTCCGTAATTCTTAAAGATATTATTGTTATTAGTGAGCAACTTTTATAAATGATAACTTACTTATTAATAATAAAACGGTAACAAAATTCTAAATTCAATATAGCTCTTGTTCTTATTGGGTTTTACAACTTTCTCGCTATTTTATTATTGTAATATAACTATTTAATTCTATTAAAATAATTTCATTATAAAATAATAATAGTTTACTAACAATAATTGTTCAATAAACACCGTTAAGGATGACAAAATAGGGCCTTAAATATAGGTAGCTACATGAGGATCATCGGAAAGTGGACAGGAAGATGTCAGATGCTGTGGAGGCGCAGACACTAACTGAATGAACATACGAGTTTTTTTTTTTAATGAAAAATGTGAAAAACGTTTTCGTATTCCTCACCTCTGAATTCCTTAAATCGTGTTAATATTTAAACAAAATAATTTACACATCACTTACAGAGCTAGCGCAATAAAAAAATAAGTTAACATTTGTTAAAACAACATTATACATTTATGTCTAACAACAACCTTATTGATTGCTCTCGCGAGCCTTTCGCCGATGTGACACCTCGGCTTTCTCTCTCATGATTTTGCTATAAGACAAAAGGGGGAGTTTTTATTTCTTGCGGAAAATACTCGGCATGCCGGGTGATCCGGTTTTCTGTTGAAAGATTTTGCTCATCCTCTGGCGCATGTCCTCGACACCTTGGCCGACGTTCACCGTCGCCATCGATAGGGAAAGTCCGGAGCTCGCCGAGGGTGTCCTGGAATGAGAATAACTTATTACGAACGTTTAAACATTTTTTTATATATCGAGGAAATATTTATAATATATATATATATATAGTTTTTAGAAAAATATTCAACGATCCGAAGATATCAAATTTCAGAAATCTAGATTAATGAATTATTGCAACTATAAAAAATTACAATTAGTATATATACAATAAAATATAAAATTATATTTTTATTGTTATACCGTACGTATTTATAGTAATTGATTCATGACTTATTACAAATATACGATTATCTTTGCGTATAAATGATTTTTATTCAATACCTATCTATTGGCTTCGGCAGATCCTGCCTGGACTCCGCTTCTCTGAGCAGAGAACGCACTGCGTCTCTTTGCTGAGGCAGGCACTGATTTACCAGCGTCTCGAGATGCCTTAGTCCCGGCAATACAACTCCGGAAACGCATTGACTACTTAACGGACAGTAAACCAGCACAGAATACGCCTCCACCAGCGCGTTTACTAATTCGGTCTTACGGCTCTGTTGAAGCGCGAACGATGCAATCGTCAATAAGAGCGTTGCTATTACTGCAATTAACAACAGCTCAGTATAAGAATACATAACAGTATAAGAATACATAAATAATAATAATAATAATAATTTTGAAATAATAATAATAGAGATATAAAAATTTTTTATCAAAAGTATTGAGATTGAGAGTATTTCGTATTTTGCTGTTTTATGCTGGAGACTAACTTTCCAGTTACAACACATATTATATGGAATAACGTACTGTCTTCTATGTAATTCTGCGGACAAGTGGGAGCAATGACCGCAAACGTGGATACTAATGAGGTCGCCAAAATTTGAGAAAATTCTTGTGGATCCTTCGCGATCGTCTCCAGTGTTAAACGTGCTTTATCACGTGCCTCTCTCACCTTGCACTCCGTTATTATACGGCCTAGTGTGGAGATTGCAGCGCAACGCACACCACTAAAGATATTTATTCGATTATTACATAGCGTAAAACGGAAAATATTAATAGCGCCCAAAAGATGATTCATCATACATATTTTAAATAAAGTAAATAATTTTATATCAATCGTGCATTTTTAGAATCTCGTTGTTAAGCAAATTTTTGAAATTTACGTTATGTTATGCAAATAATTTAAGTTTATGGTTATACATTCAAAGACTTTTGGAGTAATGAAGGTTTTAGAACAGAAACTAATGTTAATCCATGAATTTCAGATACATGCATGCATAAGAAGAAGAGTCTCTCACACTTCAGGATCGCTGGCGAGTGTTACAATGGCTGGTACGATCTTGGCGTTCGCTAATCGGTCTGAGATGTACGCGATAATGGAACCGAATAGTGTTGCTGTTGCACATCTCACAGAGGACCTCTGATGCATTACACCTGCAAAGAAGAATCTTCATGTTTTTGTTGCTTATAATTCAAAAATATTTTGCAGAACGTTATAATAAAAATATATCGATCCTGAGAGTTATAACAAAAGTATATCGACTCTAAGAGAGAATATAAATAACATATTCGCTGATTCTTTTGATACGCATATATATTTTTAATTCGAGAAAAGAATTATTTTTAATAAAACAATTATAGTTTAAACGAGAAGTAAGATTTTTTTTAAACTTCTTGTAATATTTTTATTTATTATATACTGTTTCTTCTGCAAAACTATTAATGATAATAATATGATAAAAAAAGAGATACGACACGAACCATCCCATAAACTTGCAAGCACGTATTCTTGTGTTTGTTCACGAGCGCATAAAATACTGGCAGCGATTTGCAACCAAGATATGCTGGTGCCGCTCATAGATAAAACCACGAGGAATTGTTTGAAGTGATTTGCGAGCTCCGTGGAATCGAGTGTACTCAGAATCACTAAGTAACTCGGGATCAATGCTAAACTCATATTCTTCTTGTCTGCCGATAATGCTGTTAATTGCTTCTCAAGTTCCGACACTTCCGAGGAAAATACTGTCTGTATCTGAAATAATATTTATTCACCAAATTCTTAGGCAATGCTCTCTAAATACTTCAACAAATATTTTAAGAAACTAAGAATTTTTAGAAGACATTTAAGAACGGAAACGTTTCTAATTCTAAGAATCTAAGGACTTGAATTTACAAATAATTCAAAATTTGATAATTCCAAGTCATCAAGTCAGAGTTATTAAGTATTTTAATAGTATTTCTATCTAGATATACAGAATTTTTTTTGTACATTTACCCTCGATTGTGTGATATATTTCCCAAAGCCTACGCACAACGAATAAATGTACGTAAGAAGGGTTTTTAGAACATTTTCCTGAGCTGCGTCCAGAGACTTCATCATATCCAAGACATCAAATACCCTGCAAAAGAGAATGCATTTTGCAAATCAATATCTTTAAACAGAAATAATCAAACTTTTAGAGATTCGTATTAAAAGTTTTATTTTTTTATAATTGTAAATTTTTTTAGAGTCGTCCAATAATTAAACGACAGCAGAAATAAATTTTTATGAAGCACTTTTTAATAATATAATGCGCTATTATTTTAATAATATTATTTCTTAATATTATTATTTAACATTTTAAAATAATTATTATTTAATATTATTTTTAATAATAAAGCAACAAATAATATTTACAACTTGTTCGTAAACCACTCTAATTCCGGCCAGGATACGTCCTCCCAGGATTTGGAGAAGAAGGTATTGAGAAGAACACCGACGTCGACGGAATCCTCGTAGAATACCCTCGGGTCGATGATATTGGAGTGACACAACGCCAGAAATTCCTCGGCTGCACCACAAAGTTTCTAGAAAACTTTTGTGCTTTTGTTTTTGTGCGAGCTTATAAGCTTTATACAAAATCTACTAAAAAAACTTTTCGATAGCAAGATTTTTCTATTATAATTTTTAAATCGTGAAATCTTCTACCTCTCTATTTTTTAAAAGTATTAAAATATTAGCTTTTAATATATTATTATTCATTCCACATAGATCCTAAATTCTTTAGATTTAAAAAATGTTTCGTTTTTGATTTTCATTTACAAATCATTGAATTTAACCTTCATTTATAATTTGTTAACTTTTTCAATTTCTAAACTTTTAAATCTTAAAATTTTCAGTTTTTATAATTTTTATTATTCATATATTTTACCTTGTAATTACTGAAATATACATTCCAATATTTGTCATTTACTTCCTCTAATAACTCACACAAGTCTGGCGACGTATCATCCTTGACGCAGGCCCTCACCGCATCGGCATTGGCAACGCACAAAATCGTATAAGGTAAGATGCACTGCAGAATGCTGATCGACGGCGTCAACTTCTCCTCGTCGACGTAGTCTTTGTTTGGCGAAGTCTGGGAGTGTGCCGGCTTCAGCTGATTCTTAACTTTCGAGAGTATGCGCGGTAGCAGGTTCAGGTGCAGCCTCCTCAGGGATAATGCCCACTGTGCCAAGACCGGTAACAATACCGACGACGCCGTTTCGACGACGATCGACGACGTGTCGTGGAGTGCCGTTAATACCAGTTCTTCGCACTGTAATTTATATATATAACAACGTATAAAAAAAAATATAACAGAATGTTATGTTACTAAAATCTTGTAAAATAATTCTCTGAAAATTCTCAAGTTTTTCAGGTATTTTTATTAAAAATTGCAGGCAGGATTAGATAATTTTTTAATGCAACTTTGAAATAAATTAAAGTCGTAAGCAACAAACTATATGTTGTAAATTAGTAGAGGACAGATAGAAGACATAATAAAAAATATGTAAAACAATAAGATATTTACCTGAAAGTATTTGTCAGGATCGTCCATTAAAGCTATGAGTAGCGCGAGGCTTCTCACTACGCTAGTTCGCACAACAGGATCCTTGTCCTCCAATAACATCTGCTGCAACATTGACAGCATCAGCGAGTTTCTGATGGAAGCTGACGTGTAGGATGCCAACACAGAGCAACATTCGACAGCTAATAATCTCCTCTCTGGATACTTGTGTTGACTCTGCTCCCAACAAATCGTTAGAATTTCTTCCGTTTCCAACGGCTCTCCTGCGAGTTTCGCCATTACGATTAAACCTGAGACAAAAAAGAAGGTAACCTTCAATTATAGGCTTAGCCAGTAAAGAAATATTTTTTAATCATTTTATAATTATGTTGCGTGTATTACAAATCCAACTACCAAATTCTACTTTCTAAACGAATAAATTTTATTGTATCTGAATTCTTTTCTAAAATAATAAATCTTATTGCAATTTGTAAATCTATTAATACTAATCATTAAATTGTATATTTTTTTACTAACCAGCCAATATCATTTGCCGCTCGTCCTCCTGCGGCCTCTTCTTCAAGTTGAACAATAGCTGCAGTAACTTTTCCCTTTCGCTGGAATTGGAATGGAGATGGATCGCACTGAGGATAAGAGGAATGATTTCTTCGCGTCTATTAAGGATAATGTTGGGCACTACACGTGGCAGAGTATATGCTAAAATATCAATTAACGTATCCCGGGTGATTCCGTGCTTCAGTGATTCTTCCACCGATGATATTAATGATCCCGAAATATTCGCCATGCAGTGTGCCGCTATTTCCGACTTGAATTTAGCCGGCAAATCTCTGTAATGTTTACAAATATACAATTAAAAAATATATAATCGTATCTTGGATTCTTAAAAATTTTCATATAACAAATCAATTAATTTAATTAGCTTCTTTGTAACTTAAGATTTTTTAAATATTATTTTTCAACTTGTTTATCTAACTACTTGAATAAAAAAACGCACTAGGATTTTAAAAAATTAAATATGTATAATAGCATAAAATAACCTGGAGGATGCAGTTGGTAGGGCAGAGGATTTCTCAGTAATATTTACTCTAGGTAATTGCAGCCTGGTCCATTCCTTATCTCCCGGATCTGTTTCGTCCAGGCTAACTACTGCGGACGCGCTATCGTCTTCCTCCAGTTCTTGAGTAGTGGTCGACATGTCCCTTGGTAGCGGCTCAAGCAGTTCAAATTTGTCAGGAGTTGTAGAGTTGGAATTTATGGTACGGATAGTTCCACAGCTACCTGACTGTAAGTAAAATATAGTCATTAATAATAATTTTTTGCAATATATAATACTCCATAATCATTAATTCCAAGTCAACAGCTTGGAAACATCGATGAAAAAAACATAGATAAGCTATACTTTGATTTTATAATAATATATTTATAATAATATATTATAATAATATAAGCAATAATCATTGAGTCTCAGAAATTAATAATTAAGAATTATTGTTAAAAAATACATTTATTAATTGTAAAATCATCTGACAAAAGAAAATACTAATTAAATAACTCACCTTTACCGGATTTTCCATAACATTCTCCTTGTCCGACGAAATAACTTCCTGGAGAGCGTTCTTTTCTTGTTCCAGCACTGCAATTTGCTGCTGCAACCTTTCAATCTGTTCTGCCTACGAAGAATATAGAGCTCTTGTAGAAATCAGGGATTTAACCAATAAAAAAATATTTTGGAGCTCCTACAGTTTTATTAAAGGAAACAAACCATTTCCGGTGATTCATCCTTCTGTTGCTCAACGACATCTTCGACGACAAAGTCCGTTTGCACAGCGACGCTCGTGGACGGGGGTTTGTCATATCCGTTGGCTCTCATGTACTCCCGATATATCTGCAACAATTCCGTGGGTTTGGGAATGTTCAGCCCGACATCTTGCCAGTCCTCGAAATCCTGCTCCTCGCATTCATCGCTGAACGTGATCGAGGTGAGCTTGTACGATCTTGCCAGGAGGTATTCGTTGATGAGAAAATTCAGCGCTCGCTGCTCGTGCGGTTTTATAGGCAGCTCGGTAGTCAGATTCTTTTCAGAGTTCTTGTCTGGTGTCTTCAGCGTACCCTCCAATTCTGAAATTTTAATGTGAAATTGTATATTATGTAACTGTTTCAAATTGTATATTATTGATTGAAAACGCGAGTCGAAATCGTGTTTTGCCATTCAAGTGAGACGTACCTGTCACCACAGTTAAATTAGCACGCAGCGCGGAAATATTTTCCCTGGCTTTGCGCAACTCAAACTCGAGAATGGCCACTCTCTCGTCGACGCCAGCCCCATCCTCGGAATATCGAGTCATATCCAATGAGTCCAAGGTGGCCTGACTAGAAGATCTGGCTAATATTTCATTTATATGTAATGTTTAATTTCTAATTTTCTGTTTTTTGTTTGTAATTTTTTTTATATCGTTGATCAATAATTAATAAAATATAATAATTTATACCAATAAATACGATTTTCCATGTATTAATTTGATATTAACATCTTTTATTCATTGATTCTATGTTAACTATTATTTAAATATGTGAGACGATCTTATATTAAATTACAAAGGATGAAAAAACTAATAATAAGCAAATAAAATATCGTAGAAATAAAAAATATGTACAGTGCAGGCCGAAAGTTTGAAAACGTTTTTAAAAAATTTTTAGAGAACATTTTTTTAAGATCTTATTTAAATAACCGTAACAATGTGCCTTACAGCTGTAGCTAAGGTTCAAGGCAATATAATAAAATCCATTCCTATATGTCTAACAAGATACATACGCATCGGAGTGTATGGCTCTGGCTTGATGTTGGAGCTCTCGAAGTTGTTCGGATTCGAGAAGAATTCCCTGAGGATCGGCAGCTCCTTGCCAGCTTCGCACAATTCGGCGTGCAACTCCAGGGCCGTCAAGAGGAGCTTCTCGTTGAGAAGCTTCGCGGCCATCTCCTCGTAGGATATCGTCCTTGGGGCCGCATATCCTGAAATAACGGCGGTCGTGAAAAAGCCTGGTCGTTAATTATCTAGCGGTTGTAATCGGTTTCACGATCAGTTCACTATGTGATTAATCAGCGCGTATTGTTATGATGGATTCAACGACGGACGAGACGAGGTTACCTTTGTTGTTCGCGGACAGAGACTCCTTCATCTCCCCCACGACACTCGCCATGATGCTAACGCGCTCAGGTATTCCTAAGGAATGACATTTCCACGTGAGACAATGCTGGCCCGTGCTGCGTACGCCGCTTTGATATTAAATGCCATACATATGTAACGGAAAATGATTATTTATCATGCAAATAACGATGACAACTCATCTGACGGACGATGTGAAACTGCACCACGTAGATTGGCGACTCGTGAAGTGGTGATTCATGATGCCGAGCCGAGTGGCCTCGAGTTCTCAAAATTCCCTATTCAGCGGTCAATTAAAATTCAAGCTTATCGGCCGCGTTTGGCGTAAGCAATTTTTGGTCTTTTAGCAGAAAATAAATAAGTATTAACAATAATTTAATATAAAAAATAAAAATATCACTTGGAATATTGAAAATAAATATCTTGGGCAAAAAATAAATTATGTTTTTTTTTTACAAGATTTTCGTTTATTCACATATATCTATATTAGATGATTTTGTTAATGCACATAAAATCATATAAATGATACCTATATTGTTATCATATCATCTATTGATACCATGACATTATAAAAATAATAAATATATCAAGGTAGCACATATGTGTCTAATCTCCTTTTTTTTTATATTTTTACTTTCGCTTTTACATTTTTAATTATGCAATTTTAAAAACTTATTACAATTAGTCGAAGTAAGACTTTTGATACAATAACATATAAATAACAATATCAAGAAGTTACTTCATTAAACCGATTGCAATATTGTTTTCATTTCATGTTACATATAATTCGAATTGTATTATTTATTTCTTAAGTCATTGACTTAATTTACATCGAGCACTTGATACGCGTACTAATGGGTAACTTTCTATTAAATTAGCTTAATTTCGGCGATGCGTGTAAACGTATACATGATACGTCTATTGAATTAATTATCCTGATGCACACTATATCAGATTACTCGATTCTTTGAATGCATTACTGAAATTAAGACAATATAATAGACAGACACTAATTGGTACGCGTAACAAATGTACGGCATAAACTAGGTCATTATTGACGTTCACGAATGCGAGGATGCATCCCGTAAATGTCAGGGCAATGCATTTTATTAGTCTTTATCGGGCCTATAGATGTGTCTACAAATCCAACGTTAGAAAATCACGACTTAATATCTTCTCGAACGGCACCGGAAACACGTCACGCTTCCAATTTCGTCTAAGAATTCTCGATGTCTGCGGACGTCTGTGGAATTCAAGGGAAACCATCGTCGTCTTCCTCGGCCATTTCTTTCGCCAGCTCCAGATCCTGCTGCTCCCTCTCTCTGCGCTCCTCCGCGGACTCCAGGTCCTTGCCGTAGGACTTGGGCGGGTAACGCATCGCTTTGACGCTCTGATTGTGCAGGTCCAGGCAGAAGGTGATCCTCTGATGGAAGGCCAGCAGCGGCTCCTTGGTGCAGTAGATGTCCGTGGTCTCCTTGCTGCGCATGTAGCCGTTCTCCGGATCGAGGGTGGCCTCGATCACCCCGTCGCGAATCGCCTTGGCGACGATGAACTCGGCGTCGACGCTCGAGTCCAGCCCCAGTTTGCGGGCGATGTCGGCCGGCGAGATGCGCGAGTAGGACAGCCCGATCGAGCGGATCGCCGTCTTGATGACGTTGTGCCGCAGCCGCAGGATCAGCGTGAACGTGTGATCAGCGCGGAACTGCGGCCCGAAGTTCTCCAGGACCTCGCCGAAGCGCTGCAGATTGCCCAGGCGCACCGCCTGGGTCAGCTGGAAGTACGGGGCGAGGGCGCGGCGCAGGGCGGCCTGCCGGAATATCTGCCGCTCCGGGATGTCGCCGAGGAGGAGCTCGACGGCGACCGCAAGCTTCTGCACCGTCTGCCGAAAGCCGACCGCCGTGGTCTGCGGCGCCTTGCGCATCGCCTGCACGAGGTACTTGTGCGCGGCCGAGTACTCCAGCCGGGCGGCCTTTATCCTGCCGAGGTAGTAGAGGAAGCGCGCCCACTCGTTGTTGCTGGCCGACTCGGGGAAGGTCGACTTGAGCACCAGCTTGTCCGCCTGGTCGTACAGGTTGTAGTGCAGGTAGTTGCGCAGCAGGCAGTTGATCAGCACCGCCTGGCCCTCGAAGTCGTTGCGCAGGGTCGCGGTGCGCAGGCGGAGGTGCAGGAAGCCGCGGATCTTGTCCAGCTGATCCGTCAGCTCGTACGCGCGCGAGTGGTAGAAGTAGCACTTGGCGGCGATCAGATCGATGGTGCGGCGGTTCTGCGCGCCGATCTTCTGGACCAGCTGCTCCGAGCACTGCACCGCCTCGTTGTACTTGCCGGTGTCGATCAGCCGGATCAGCACCATCAGATGAACGTAGCCGTCGATCTCGGGCAGCAGGGACGACGAGGGGGCGCGGAACTTCTGCGTGACCGCCTGGCAGTCGTCCACGTCCATCGGCTCCTCCACCCAGGCGAGCAGGGCGTCGCGCTCGGCGGCGGACTTGGTGTAGAAGCCGGTGACGAGGCCGCGCAGCACGACCGGGTTGAGGCGGCGGCGCGTGTTGGGCAGGGCGCGTAGGGCGCGCAGCACGAAGCGCGGCTCCTTGTTCTGCACCGCCTTCTCGATCTGCCGCGTGTGCTCGCGGATGTCGCACAGGGTCTGCATATCGGTGTCCCGGCGCTCGCCCGGCGCGCCGTCACCGTCGCCGTTGTTCTGCGCGTCCGACGCGCTCGCCGGATTCACGTCCACGTCCATCGCCTCGACGTTTCTGCCGCTCGGTACGCCCATCGCCCTGGTCTGTCTTCTGGCCGCTGGCGATCTCGATTCCTCTCTTCGATCCGCGATCCGATCTCGTGCACGGTGTGTCCTTACTCCGGTCAGCCGCTCAGATTCTCATCATCACTCACCTCGCGTTGTATCGCTCGCTGCACGTCTGTCGCCTTGTATTTGTGCAATTCACGTAACGGAGAGGTTAAGATGCCCGCGCGCTCATTGGTGCGTTTGATTCTGTTTGACCATTGACAATGGCGTGGATAATGCAGGATTCACATCCGTGGATTCTTACATCCCACGCTTGCCACCATGAGCGGTAGCGTCTTTGGCCGGATTGGCTGTGAATTGGACATTGGCTCTGATTGGCTCTCGCGTGAGGGACCAGAAGAAGTCTGTTGACTTGTGAGCGTTGTGGTTAGGTTAGCGGCAGGTAACGATGGCGGTCGCCGCTTCGTCTGTCGAAGAGTTAATTAATTATTTTAAATCGCACAATAAAATACGAGAGCAGCAGAGCCACTCGGCGAAAGTGCACAGCGTAGGATGGAGCTGCGATGGCAAATACCTGGCCTCAGGCTCGTTCGACAAATCCGTTTGCATCTTCTCGCTATGCCCGGATCGTTTGGTTAGTAAATATATAGTAATCTGTAAATCCACACCATTCGCGGCTTATTTATCCTAAGATAATATCCTGAGATAAACTTCTCTCAAAATTTTTCGTGAAGCTTAATACAGTACTCCAACTGTGTTTCTTTAATTGTTTATTTATCTAAAATCGATAATTACAATAGAGTATCTATTTGTACATATGATTATCGATGCTGTCAGGGGATAGCTGATTATATTAGAGGATATTTTATTGGTATCTCATGGGCTGCGTTGCACTTAAATTAAGTTCAACTTTAAGTTTTATAGTATGTTTATTTATTGGAGCTATGTGCCTCCGTTGAAGACACATAGCTATAATAAAGTCAACAATATCACTTAATTTTCATTCTTTGATATCAGCTATCCTTTCACAAATTTTAAGTGCAAATAGGAGTCAAATGCATAGACGATAACAGAGAATAATATCACGGTGTTGCCAGGATCACTGCCTTAAAAATCCCTTATCAAATGGTCACTTCGCAACTGCCTCTTTCTCGATATTTCTGTGTTTCATTTACCTTAATCGCCTATCTTAATGTATACAACAATATTTTCGAGTGTCTTGATTCTCTTTACAACTGTGTTTATTTGAATTTGAATACATCTTGAAAAATTGCACTTGAAAATTTTTAATATTAAAAATGGAAAATTTTTTTATAATTTAGAGAATAATTTACTTTATCGAAACACCTTTTCATCAGCCTTTGTATGTTATTAAATTATTTTAATACGTACACAATTCTAATTGTTGGATTTGATTACAAAGTTCTTAACAATACAATTTTTTTTATTTAGAAGCAGGAAACGACTTTTAGGGGACACGGCGGCAGCGTGGATCAGTTGTGCTGGCACGCTTTCTGTCCAGAGTTATTATCAACGGCGAGCGGAGACAAGACAGTCCGCATCTGGGACACGAGGACGCAAAAGTGCACGGCGAATATTAGCACCAGAGGGGAAAATATCAACATATCGTGGTCACCGGACGGCAACACGATCGCTGTAGGAAACAAGGAGGACTTGGTCACGTTCATTGACGCCCGAGTGATGAAGATACGTGCAGAGGAGCAGTTCAACTTCGAGGTGAACGAGATCTCGTGGAACAAGGATTCCGACACGTTTTACCTGACGAACGGCCAGGGCTGCGTCCACATACTTAGTTATCCGGAGCTCGAATTGCTGCACGTGATCAAGGCGCATCCTGGTACCTGTATCTGCATCGAGTTCGATCCGACCGGCCGGTACTTTGCCACCGGGTCCGCCGACGCGCTGGTCTCCCTGTGGGACGCCGACGAGTTGTGCTGCTTGAGGACGTTCTCGCGGCTGGAGTGGCCGGTCAGGACTATCTCCTTCTCGTACGACGGGCAGCTCCTGGCGGCGGCCTCCGAGGATCTGGTCATCGACATCGGCGAGGTGCAGACCGGCGAGAAGATTGCCGACGTGCCGGTGGAGGCGGCGACGTTCACCGTCGCGTGGCACCCAAAGCAGTATCTCTTAGCTTACGCGTGTGACGATAAGGATTCGTACGACCGAAAACGCGACGCTGGTAGTCTGAAGGTGTTCGGTTTCGCGAACGATTGATCGTGTTTTCTACCTTTCGTTCGCGCTGCTCCCAAAATATTAACAATAAAATATTTTATATGTTAACTCATAGGTGATATATTTTTCTAATATTGTAAAATATTGTGTAATATAATCGCGATCGCGATTGATATGTGACATTAAAAACTGAACGGTACTCCAAAATTAAAAGCAATTGTAAGCGAATATAAAGATAGAAAATATTCATCATGCTAGATGATGAGAGATATGAAAAACGACTTTGGAAATACTTTGATTTATGGGACTATATTAAAATTCTGAAAAGACCATTAATATGAAAATAGACTGAACGTTTCAGAGCTGAACTTTGTATATATGTTATTTCATCGATCACACTCGAAATCGATTTATTAGAACTCGAACAAATCAAGCGTGAAATTTCCTGTTGACCATACGGTCGGCATGGTTACCGTGTTTGGCTCGAACTTACGCGAACCACGTGAGTCACGTTTTGTTTCATTCGTCAGCGGGAACTTCGCTGGATCTCGCTCTCCTCCGATGATCTTCATCTCGCCATGTCGAGCCAGGATGAAACGAGCGCCGTCTGCAAATGTCAGTACACTCTTTGTATAGGCGCGCAAGAGACGAGAGGCAGTGTTAATGACATCCCTAATATTCACGAGATCGACGAGGAAGAGAGCGAGACCGAGGAAACGACGGCCTTAAAACGACCGGATCCTTCGGATGAAGAGGGCGGCGAGAAGGCTGTGCAGAAGGCTAGGAACGCGTCGAACGACGAGTCCGCGTATACAGGCGAATCTTTCTGCTCCGACGACGAGCAGTCCTGCGACGAATCTGAAATCACGTCGGGCTCGTTGAATTCCTCTTCTCTGATCCACATTACCGATCTCCAGCTCAGCGAGAGCTCGAAGGAGCAGGACATCGAAGCCAGCGGGTCAGAGTGGAGGGACGACGATCGTCAGGATGACTCCTACTCGCTCAGCGACGATACTGACGAGCCGTCGTGCACCGCCACAGCCGACAGGTCCGCCGGACAGGCGAGGAGGACATACAAACGATGCAACATGAGCTTCACCGACGAGGAGATGCGCAAGATCGAGCGGGAGAACGAGTTGCTGCTGAGGAAGATCATGGCGCAACAGAAACCTCGGCACCGGATCCTTGGCGAGGGTAGCGCTCAGTCGAGGACCAGCAGCTCCGCGATTAACAGGAAGAAGTTACAAAAGAAGATAGAAAACGATAACATGGTACGTAATTTCGATGTCGCGGGTATAAGGTAGATGGATAACGTGAAAACTCCATTTGCAGCTGCTCCTCCGAAGGATACAAAAGGCGAAGTCGTGCGTTTTCACGGATACATCGAAAATGGGTTGTAGATTGACCTTTTTGTAGAATTTTTATAATATTGAAAAAGATTTTGTATCGTCTCGTTATAGGAAACACATCAGCCGACTGAGATTTAAACTGATATATTACCTGTAAGGGAATATTGTGATATATAAATTAGAGGAAGGAAAAGTATATAATTCACTCTCTTATATAAAATAAAAATTCAAATCATTAATGTGGCTGAAAGAATGTGAGATAACCATTTTTAAACCATTTTGAATTTGCGTTGAAAACGGCTCAAAACGGAACGTTACGGATTTTTAATTAAAAACAATTTCATATCGAAAAAATTACGCACTACAAATTACATCGGACTCGTATAATCCTTCACATGATTTTAATGATTAATATTTTTATAAATTATGAAATTATTGTTTTTAGTAGGTTATATAAATGTAACATAAATGAAAAGTGGTCCTGTGAAGAGAACTCACGATAGACTTCGACTCTGATAATCTGTGAAGAAAAAGAGTTCCTACTTTTCCGAATACAAAAATTATATTACGCTTTTTTTTGTGACTTCTTTATTAAAACACAACGATTACCAGTCTTGAAGAATAGGTACACATTTCTTTTTTTTTTTCACTTCGTATTTTGTGTATACGGCGCAATCCTTGTAAACTCGTCTCTTGAAAATTTACTTGAAGATACCTCTACAAGTCAAGACTATAAAAAATCACAGTTCTCACTCATCTCAAATAACTTAATTATCACTCATGGTTAATATCAAAAATCGGGAACTCTCGAATATTATGATGGTTCTCTTTTTTTCTTTCTTTTTTCTTTTCCTTGCGTTATTACATACACGGGCGATATCGTAAGAGAAGAGAGAGAGAGGGTGTATTGTGTGTTGTCAAAGGAGCAAATTATAAATTTTTATATAAGCAATGTTTAACGATATAGTTGTTTCCTTTAAATTAATGTGTGCTGCGATTACAATATGAAACTGTATTTCCGTTTTTTTTCCATTTCTTTTTTTTTATATCGATCTTTGTAATTCCATACGTCCTATTTCCATTTCACTTGTATTATAATTGATCGATCATGTGTTCGGTTTTTCGTTAACAAATTAAAACAACACGAAAGATATTAGATTATCCTGCACGAAGTCTTATTTGCAAATAATTTAAAGTAGTTCTCACCTTAGTTGCTTTAAATAACGAAATAGAATAAGAATTAACATCTAGATTTTGGTTTTTAAGAGACTGTATGAAAATAATTCGTTTAAGAGACTATTCACCTGTTGTTACTTATGTTGTAACATAATAGTAACAATTATATCACAAAGTACGCTCAGCGCAGTAGCAACAAAACATAACAATTTCTATGGATTCAAAAATCTGTTAAATCGCGGCCCTCGGCAATTACCTCATTGCCATTTAAAGCGATCCTAAAGTCGTCTGTTTTTATAGAACGTGATTATTTTCCAGCGCACCGTTAACATAATTGCAATTTACGGATTTAACAATCCTTTTTTGCGATTAAAGTAAACGTATCAATATAATTCAGGCTGATAGAGGTGCTGAGAACGAAAAAAATTAAGAAATTTAAATCTCCGTATTTTTAATCCAATATAGGATCTAAAGCTGTCAATGTGTGCCAATATTTGTTTCATACAAAAATTTGGCAGTCTGTTAATACAAAATGGGAGCAGCCTGAGCTGCGAACTACATGTCCCAACAATATTGAGCTCTTAAAATTAGGCTTAGATGTCTTACATAAAATATTTAAGTGCTTGAAAATTTGTTAAGATGCGTGTACGTGTGAAATCGATGTGGTAGTAGACATGAACACATCACTACACACTGCCATACCAATACCGCACGCATTCATACGCACAAACGCGATAAAACAGCGACGTTTTGGAGAAAACAGACAAGTTTAGGATCGCCTTAAAGATCGTCGTTCTTATCTTTCACCCCTCCCCCCCCAAATCGTGAAACAAATATATAAGATATATCACAAGATAAAACCTCTTTTCAAAATTTCAAGTCATTAATCCTCGCGCTTCGTTCGCCATGATTCCGTCGACGATGGTGTCCATATTGTGCTGAGCGAACGGAACGGATCAAATCCCGATCTCTCCTGGAATTGAATAGTCGAAAATAATCAATCGGGATCACCCTTACGTGAAAGTCAGAGGTTTCTTTTTATACTCGTTCAAGTACTTGCGTTACGTACTTGCGTGTCCGACTCAGACTGCAATGTTTGCGATATCATGGGAGGCGCAGCCGCACCCCAGGGTGCCGCAGCCCATACACCTCCTGTATTAATTCCCCACACGCCGCTACGTTCCTCTCCGACCGCTGCCCTAATGTGCAATGGTTCCCAGTTCGTATCGACTGTCCAATTATCTGTGAACATATAGATTAAAAATGTGTTAAAGTTCTTTTTAATGTTGGACAAATTTTCGAACATTATTAAGTGAATTCTGTGTTCATTTTATAAATATAGGATTAGGAAGTAACTACTATTTTCTTTCAGTAACGAACTATTTTTTCTGTTCGAAATGATAACGTCGTTACATTTTCACAATAACAGTAACGAATTCAGCTGTTACTTTTTTTATTATTATTCCTTATTATGTTTAAACCTATTCAATAGATCGCGTTATTCTTGATTGGATAGAAATTCTAATTATAAATTAACCATTGAAAAATAAATTTAATATAAACTTAAATATTGAAAAATATTTTTTAGCGTTATGAAAGGGTAACGAATCGTTACTTTATAAGAAACAGTAACGCGTTACTTTTAAATAAAATAACGTTGTTTAAATCCCTACTTAAATCTTTTCCAAATAAATAGACTAATATACCTTTTAAATCAGACAAAACGGGTTTCTCCGGGGTTTTCGGCGACTCCAACTGAAATCCGTTCGTACCCTCGGACAGTAAATTTATCATTGGACTAGTGTCTTCCCACAATTGGCACCGCGTGTCTTCTTCGGGGGTCTCCAATTCTACTAAAGGCTCGTCGGTTTCTGGAAGATCGTCGTACGGCACCAGCTCGCGTTCAAACTGCTGATAATTGATAATTGATAGTTTCATCACATGATATTTGAAGATAAAGTTAATTCGAACTACGAACTTACTGGATGTTCTGTGAAAGTATTGATGAAATAGCTGTTCGAATGTTGCGATTGTTCGGGCTGCAAAATCAAAGGCTCAGACTCGAGTGATTTGTTTTTGTTCACAGTTGTATTATTGAGAGGAGCTGGAATTGCCATTGTCAAATTGTGTTTTTCCTTTGGTGTCTGCGACGACTCCTGCGTCGGTTGTGGCTTCGCGTATTGAACGTCGGCTTTGACATCGGCATTGAATCCCGTGGACAGATTTGACGTACTCGTTTGACCCTTGTGATTCACGTGATTTAAAGCGGAGAACGGGACGATTTCTTGACTTCGCGCCACTACGTCGCTGAACTTGGCCCTGTTCTCGCCCCAACAGGAGGGCGGCGGTGGCAAGGGGGTGGGTATCGTTCCTACGATGCGCGTTACATCCTCTTTTTGACTTATGTTTCCATTTATGGGAGGGGCTGCAATAACAACAAACAACAATCAATATTTTTATATGTACAGGATATACTTCTAGCGGATATATTTCTCATTTCTCATATATCTACTGCATTTTTATATGTGCTATTAAATATACAGTCGAACCTCGATAACTCGAATCTCAAGGGAAGAGCTGTAAAATCTTCCGAGTTGTAGAGATTTCGACTTATCAAAATTTGAGTAAAAAAGAATTAACATGAAAATTCTATTTACGGAAGCTTTGTACGAGAATTTCTAATTTTCAGATTGTAAGGGCTTTTTAAAGGAAAACATTCGAGTGGTTTCCGAGTTACAGAGGTTCGAGTTATTGACTGTATTGCTATTATAAATTTGAAATAAAATTTCATTTATTAGACTTAATAGATTTAACAATCAAATTTAATAGATTAATAGATGTAAATTAAAATAAATTCTTTTATGTGCTATTATATTGATTATTTAAAAATCTAAGAATTAAGAAAGTTCTATTTAAGTATTCTTTAACTCTTTCTCCCCAATCTAGTGCATTTCAATATATAATGGATATGTCAGAGTACATACATTTAATATGCAGTTTGTCAGCTGCACGACGTTTCTGCACCGTCTTCTCTTTCCGCGGTGGATTCTTATTTTGACGTGATAACTTGAAGGATGACTCGACGGTACGCGAGGTATGAATATGCTTTGTGCTGGACCTAGTAGTGTTCGTTTTCCATCTATTTGGATTATTCTGCTTCTCCTTATCGTACTCATCGTCATCACAGTCGCCTTCGTAGTTGTCCTTATAATCTATGCATGGCACAGGAGGAATAGACTGAGGTTTGCTTTTCTTAGATATCGGCTTTCTTTGCAGCTTCTCTTGCTTCCCGCACGGTTGATCAAAACCCTGAGAATAAATTATGAAAAAATCTTTTTTATAGACGCGTCCAAGAACCTACATCTGCTCACATAATTCATTAACAATAACTTAATTCCCGCGACAGGTGTTTCATTATGAGTAAAGTAATTTTAGCGATAATCTTTTGGCAACTTTTCAGTATCTAATTTCCAAGCATTAAATCTTAATAATTACTCTAGTAAATGAAGTACGATCGAATTAAATTGAAATTATTCATATTTTTTTATATCTTTTTCTACCAATGTAGATTTAATTTACTTTTTATCTTTCGCTAGTTTTAAGAATTAGAAAAATATAGAATAAGTTAAATCGAGATTAAAGTTAATCTACACTGGTGAAAAAAAATGGACGTTACAATTGGGTTATAAATAGAAATAACACAACTGGGACTTACTTTACACGATGCCGTTTCATCGTGAGTTGAACTCTCCGTCGTCGTAGACGAGGTTTCTTCTTCCGAGAGATGAATGGCCTTTTGTGCGCTCGCCGACTCGAGCTTTTTCAATGAAACGTGATTACTCTGGTTGCTACCGCTGCTTCCGTTGCTACTTGTCTGTTTATTGCGCTTGTTGTCGGACTTGTTAGCCCGATTGTTATTGATTATCGCCGCGTCCGCTTGTATCTCGTGATCATTCAACTTTGGCTCGTCTTTAACGCTCGGCTGCGTTCTTCCTTTTCTGTTCGACGTCGGACTCGACTTCGTTACCGCATTGACAGTACACTTCTTCTCCTGAATCGACTGAGTGTCCGCGATCACGTCGTTTGTCACGCAATTGTCTGGCTGAGCCTCTTGAACGTTGCCCTGTTTCTTACTGTTCTTTTTCTTCGACGTATACGTGTTCGCCGCATTCGCGGGGTTAACGTTATCCACGTTAGACGATTCCTCGCATCGCTTGAAGGACAGCAGATCCTTGGACTCGGTGTCCAACCTGAACTTACGTTCCTCCTCGGCGGACCAGTCCGGGATCTTCAGTCCCTTCTGCACGTCCTTGTCCTTGCACTTTTTCACGTTCATTAACGACCAGTCCGGGAACGTTTCGTCCTTCCTCGGCTTGCTCCTCTCGTCGCTCGTCGCGGTCTTCTCGTTCTTAGCGTTAGCGACACAACCGCTGCCGCCGCCGCTGCTACCTCCTTGCGTCGTGGTGCTGTTGTGCGTCGAGATATGCGACAGCAGCCTCAGATCCAGCGCCAGCTGCACCGCGTTTTCCCTCGAGTAATTGGCCAGGCCTTCCCGCAGTATTCGGTCCGCCTCGAGGAACGAGATCACGGCGACGCACAGCATCAGCACCGACGAGAGGATCAGAGCGGCCTTCTGCATCGCGCCTTCCCACGGCGGCCGGGCGAGCACCGACGCGCACAAATTCAACGAGTGCACCGGCAGCGTGGCCAGCAGGTTAAGCATCACCACGCCGTTCTCCACGTTCTCGCCGGCGTCCGGCCCCATGCTCGTCATCACCAGCAGCTTCCGTTCCACGCGCGACAGCGTGAAGTCCGGGGTGAACGCTATCTCGACCCTCTTGGTCGCGTTCGGGTTCAATTTGAAGGGCGTGCAATCGAGTACCTTGAAGCCGTAGCCCTCGCAGTGCCAGTCGTTGATGTAGAAGCCGTAAACCTCGATCGGCAGCTCCCCCGTATTTCTAGCCGTGAAGGATCGTTTTACGGTGAGAGTCGTGACAAGTTTGCTGCGATCTCCTGGGGGAAAAAAAGGAAGCGTTATAAGGAAACTCTCTTTCTTTCGATAATTAAGACGGATCGAAAACCGCCGAAAAATACGCGCGGTGTAAAAAAATACTGAGTTAGAGTATGCTTCACGGATGCAATGACAGGACAGTAAATGAAGCGTGTGAAAAGATGTGGCATCTTCATTCATTTTTTTTTCTCTCTCGAGACTATGAGGCGAATAATAAGGAAACGTACATACGTTCACAATCTTTTAGATGCTTGTCCGTCAGTTCGAACAACAGAGGCGTAGTCGATCCCGGCTTGCGATGGCCGAATCTAAATTGTGCGCTCGCGCCTCGGCCGCTCATACGTAGGACTTCTAAAATAGTCATATTATTTCTGGAAAGCCAGTAAAACGTGCGTCAATAACATGAGACACCTGCATTATATTTCTCTCTCTCTCTTTCTCTCTCTCGCACTCAACTTGCCTAATATATAAAAAACCAGACGACGCCGAAGTGGAAAATGGTGTGTACGCCACGCGAATCGTCCTTGTTTCCGAAGGGTTTAAATATAAAGGAAGCGACTGAGGCGCTATCGTCACGCCCCATTGTTTCTCAAACAGCTCTCGCTCATCCGCATTCTCCTCCAGCTTGAACTCCGGGATCGTGGACAAACATTCCGCGCATACGGGCTTGAATCTGTCCGACACATTGAATCGTTCCATCGTTAATTGCTTGATTTAAATAAAAACGATTTATGCGAAACGATTGTTAATAAAAAAAAACGCACTTCATTGGCAAGGAGTGATAGAGACGCGCTCCCTGAGGATAGCTCCAGTCCATCACCAGCTGAACTATCAGCGGACTCGCGCTCGGATTGTGTAGCTTGATCGCTCTGTACGACGTGTTTCCGACCTGCGTCAGCGGGAACATCAGGACGCTCTTGTTCTTTATGCTACTCGAGGCGGCCAACAGGCTCGGCCAGTACGACTTGATGTTCACGTAAAATCTGTGCCCGCGCACCTCGGTCGTGTCCAAGCGCATCGTGACGTTCTCCCACGAGCCGTCCGCGGTGGAGTTGATAAAGCGCACGTGTCGCGTGTTGAGAAAGTTCAGGTCGGAGTCGCGAGTGTGCGAGGGGAGGCTCATCGTGTTCAGCCATTGATTACCCGCTGCAAAGTAAAATGTCAGCTATATATATAACTGAATTAATATGTAACAATTAATGGGTTTCCTGTGCAGCAACGGGCTAATTCACAACAAATACATGATATTGGTAAAAATAGAATTGATATTTTCTCATCACTTTAACTTTAGAGTACATTTACTCCGCTTTTACAAAATATAAGTTAATCCACTGCTGCAGCAAATCTTTCAATTACGTAATATAATTGTAAAAATGAAAATGCGACTCGGATACGCCGAGTTTAGAAAGCAAAATGGTTGATAGATTTATCGCTTACCGTTGGTGTCCAGCGATAAACCTAGATAACACTGCTGCTTGCAAGTCACCGAGGGATCGATTTGTATCGAGCCGACGTTATTCTCGCCCTTGGATATGACAGGCATCGTGGCTTCCTCCAACGGAATGTACTTTATCCTCTCGTCCTTGTTTATAGGCGCGATATGAGTCACCTCCATCGGTCTCGAGAACGTAGAGTGCACCTTCACTTGTTGCACACAGATCGATCCCTATTTGGCATTGAGAGATCACATAAAAAGTTACGCGGATGTCAAGGAGTAATTGACTTCGGAAAGATGAATTACAACTCACAGGGAAGCAATCAGTAAAAATGAGCTTCTTCAAGGAAATCTTGCCGTGCGCAACTCGCATATACACCGGCAAGGTAAATCGCTCGTAGGTCGTTCGCACGAAAACATCGCCAACAATTGTGTCCTCAACCATCGGAATCTTTATTTTAATCTTAAAGATTGCCAGAAACTCCGGTTTTATGTATTGCTGAAGCAAAAATTAGATAATTAAAATTTATGTTGGACTTGCAATGTAATCATAAACTGAAGTTAATAAGATAAAAAATTAAATTAAATTAAAATACTAAATAATTTAAAAATCCACAATCTTCAATTTACTAATAATATTATCCATAATAATAATATCCATAATCTTCAATTTAATAATGCCAGTAAGTATCTTAAAATTCTAAATACATTTTTCAGTTATTTAAATAGCACACTAATTACTGTTGGACTTGCAACGTAATAATAAACTGAAGCTAATAAGATAAAAAATTAAATTAAATTAAAATACTAAATAATTAAATATCCATAATCTTCAATTTAATAATGCCGGCAAGCATCTTGAAGCACTGTGAGAAATTTATATATTTATAACAAAAATTATATATTTAAAGAAAATCGTATTACATAATAAATATAATATAGAATGCAAATTTATCGTGTAATGCTCACATTTCCAGAATGGCTGCATACAGTTATATTACGAAATTCCTTATCCAACAAATCCGCGGGACCGTTTTGGCAACCCATCAATTCCAAGACCGCGCCAGGCATATTCACGCCCCAGCTGTGTAACTCCACGTTGACGGGGTTCGGATTCTCTAGTGCAAAAATCACCTCGTTCTCGGTACTGCTTCCCACTGTACCGAAATTCATTGTTCCCATCTCGTCGTCCTCCTTCTCGCCCAGCATAACTTTCTTTAGCTTGCCGTCGTAACTCAACACCGGCACCTCGGTCACCGACACGTTCGAGTGTATCAATATCGACGACTCCATTTTCACATTATCACCCTTCCGTTCTTTGGCAAGTTGTAAAGAAAATATATTGACCTTCTGTTCAGGTTTTATTACTCTAGGAGTAAAATCTTTTATCTAAAAGAGAATTACAACAATTTGTCTTTATCCTATAGAAATCGAGAGGTAAAGAAATAAAAGAAAAAAAAAAAGGAAAGATCACGTTGAGTGTCCGTTAAAAAAAATAACAATTCTTACCGTAAAAAGCGATTTCGCGTTCGAACACATCGTGACATTCGTAATAGCTAATGGTAATTTAAATTTATTCACCACGCTAAAGTTCCGGGCCTGATTAGATTGCGGAGAATAATGTGTAATCGATGTGTTTACTTCTAATCCACCCTGCAGCACTTGGGCTACCCAGGGAATTGCTAATTTCTGACTAGAACCACCTGGGCCTATTGCTTTTATTATTAATTTGCCTTTAAAGTGTTGCAAGTCCAAACCGGTCTTCCCTAAGAAAATCAATAACGAGTTATTATAAATGACCAACGGCAATTGCGCGAGACATTTCTCTACAATAGGAAAAATGTGTCGTATCTCACAATCGTAAACCAGCATTCCAATGGCGATCGGTATATCTGTCTCTCCTGGAATTATTGCTGGCTCAAAATGCAGTTTTAATGCTTTCGATACAGGTGTATTTATAATATTCTACGAGAAACATTTCGTTTGTTTAGTAAGAGAGTACCTCGGAATTAAATATTGGCTTTTCTTTCCAAACAATTTCGATATTATAGACTAGAAGAGGTTTAACTGTTTGCGCGTACAACTTACCACAACTTTAATTGCTTTCTTCGCGGAATTTTTTAAAGCAATAGGGTGGTGAATAGGCGGCTGCAACGAACCACCCATACCTAAATTAATTATTCCAGAACTTCCACCCCAATGAAGACCAGCTCCACTTTTGACCTCTACTTCAACTGCCACCACAAGGATCTCAGCAGTATTATTCACTTTAAATCTGCAATCACGTATATATCATGTTGCATATATTATAAAATACGCATAATATTTAATAAATACAGTCCGCTCTATATTTTATTTACCCACCTAACATATGCTGTATGATTCTTTTCTGCGTAAGCATTAAAAGTTAGTCTGATGATAGGCTTCGTTTGATACGGCAAAATTTCCCATAATTCACGCGTGCCTTCCGGCTCGCCCGATGGTAATTCTAATTGAAATTCCCCGCCACTACTATATACTTCCATCACCTTCGTTTATGCAACAGATAGAAGAACATTGTAAATTATATAATGTGACTAACAGTTACATAATCCATAAAAATAATACTTTTATAAATACATCCTTGGCCACGTAAGTATAAAGTACTCTTAGACATTATCGTAAACGTTCAATATCTAACAAAAAAAAAAAAAAATCGTTTTATTGAAAAATAGTATTTATTTTTATAACAATTTTTATATATAATATTTTATTAGTCCTTTTATGTCTTTTATCGGTTTTTTTCCAAGAATGTTTAATACTCATGGCTAAGGCTGGAGTATCAATCATGTTGTGAATATTTATAATACGTACTTGTAAAGCTTCTGGATGTGGATTGTGCATATATATAAGAGGTGTAAAAGATGCATTTAATGGTAACTTGACATCAACTACAGGTCTGAGTCTATAAGGACTACTGACACTTATTCCTTTGACCTGCAGATTACGAAATACCTTATTGCACAAGTGTATATATTTAATATTAATGTACTGCAACAATTAAATCCCCTTATTACCTGATACTTTAGTGTCCCATCTGACGTATGTATAAAAAGGTGTGTATCAATGTCACCTTCGTCTCGACCGAGGAACACTACGTTAAATGTTGTATTCCCCAGAGGTGGAATTACCTGATACACAAAAAAGATATTAATGCTATAATTAAATTCCACAATTTCTCTTCAAGATACATGTAACGTAAATTGAACGTTTGACGATCATAAATTAGCACATCAGCTTTAATGAAGCATTATAAGTGTTAGATATATTTGGTGCTTCAATTATTCTATATCTTGCTTTGAGATTATTACGTTACCATTCGATAACTTACTTTGTTTTGAAAAAACGATGAATGGAAATGACGAGTATTTCCCGATATCGATGAAAGATGTATAGTTTTATTGTGATCTTTGTTAAACATGATCACAGTTTCTTGGTGAGGAATACCAAGTTGTCTAAAAGATTACACCACCGTTATAGTTTAATTTCTCATAATCATTTCGCGAATCGAAAATACTATGTAACAATACCTTTCTTTGAAGTCCAAGATACTTGGCTCAAAAGAAATGTGAGAGAATGAATCTTCCATTTTGTCTTCGTCCGATGCAGCATCCCTTAAAAAAATACGACAACGCCCGTTTAACGATTAATCAGTACATTTTGGTCGCAGTACGTTCTAATAGTGGAAATTGAAAATAGGAAAGGTATAAGAAAAATTAGTTTCAAGTAAATTGGTTCGATACATTGTTAGTAAAGCAATGTTTGGAATCCCAGCTCTTCTTGTTAGAGTGACACGATGAAATGGTTATCCAGCAGGATGATTTTTAGTGATGCTTTTCCTTTAACGTGTCGATTTTTTTTTAATAACAGCATAACAAAGTATTCTACACAGGGTGACTAAAAAATATCAGACCGATGAAGTATTTCGAAAACAAGATATTTTTCTCAAATTTCCTATTGTCGAGATATTTCACCGGTCCAATACGTTTCAGTAATCCTGTATAATAATTACAATCATATAACTTTTCAAATTACTTAATGTTTATTTTTTTGACATATGTAATGTTTATGTAATGTTTATCTTAACGAAAGGTTTATATTTACATCCAAATATATGTTCCCATCTCTTTTTTTTTTTTAATACATGACATAAAAAAGTTTGAATTATCTTATCTTCGGTTTGCCAACAGTTTTGCAAATCACCCAAGCTTAGCAAATCTTGTTATGATTCATAAATCAAGCAAGTGTGACAATAAGATAACTTCAATGGTCGCAAATAAAATGCGTGGCCAGAGATATGGGCGAAGTGTACGCCTGTGAAATCTCTTCCCTATGAGAATGCGTAGAAGCTTGCGGAAGTTTTTCACGATATGCACGCGGGATACCCTGTGTCAAGCCTCTAAGACGAGTATATCAGAAAGAAGGGATTGTAACGAAATACCTTTCCTACTTCCACTCACCGTCATCTTAATGAGTATTATGCTTACCCAGCCCCATGTACTGTATTAGCAAAATCCTAAAAATAAAAACAAAAGTTCCAATATAACGTCTTTGCTGTTTATGTCATGCTATTTTTAGTAACGAATGATATTCGAATGTTAGATTTACAATTCATTCTTTTACCGTTTTCCACAAATGAATAAATGCAAAAATTCTTTATGATTACTTACGTACAAGTATTCTAACAAGTAATTTTTTTTATTAAATGTTTTAATGTTAATATGATTGCATAAAGCATCGCGTGCAGCGAGATTACTAACCTTATGCATAGATATTGGCATATTATCCAAAAGATATTGAACGTCGTTGTCATCCTGAACAAAGGCTGCAAAATATAAAAATCCATACTTATATTATACAGAGTTCAAATGTTCTACGTTAAATATAAAGGTAAACACAATGTATAATATCATATTAAATGTATAAATACAAAATATATTCGAGTGTCACATAACTTTAAGCTTCAAGGAGGAACACAATTAAAAGTGTACAAAGCTTGCAGAAGTATTACAAAAAAATACAGATTACATACACAATAATTATAACTGCTAATTGATATTAATAAATAATATTTTTCAGTGGTTCCCACCAATGCAATTTGGTCAAAATTAAAGAGATAAGCTGTTTGATTTATTATAAAGTAGCTAATACATCTAGAAACGTACGAGAATCGTGGACAAATCACCGATAATCCACCGATAATCCACCTGATAATCAACCACACGGGCATGCCGCTCGTTTTCATTTCAAATTAATGCGGCATCGCGAGAGCGTTAACGTTAGATAACAAACGTTATCCCGTGACAGGCGAAAATTCGACGAGACGCGGGACTCGGCATCGCGCGCGACAACGTAAACACGTCGCGCGAGTCGTGACAACGGCGCCGAGGTTATACATCGTTCCTTCATCATCGTTATCGCGACAATTTTCCCGAGAAATTCGGAGCGCAAAAGGTGGAAAGTGAGAATCGCGTCGAGAGAGGAACAGAGAAAGAGAGAGAGAGATAGAAAAGCGAGAAGAGAAAAGGAGAAATGCGCGCCTCGCCGGGACGCGGATCGCGTGACGGCGCTTGGCGCGCACGAAGCTCGGCGCGGTGCGGTGCGCGAGACGCGTGACCTTCATCGTCACGATGGGCATATCGCGTGCGATGGGCATATCGCACCGGGGTCGCGAAAGCTCAAAAGCGCGCCGTGGAAGGCGCGAGGCGGTGGGCCTTATCGCGCCTTCCACAGCGAGTTCGAGTCCCGCGTGCGCGCGCGCGCGCACGCGACGCGACCGATTGTTATTGTTGGATGCGGATCGCGCTTCGGCTGCATCGAAATAGTCATGCGGTGAAGAGACGGAAAGAGCGAGCGAGAGAGAGAGAAAGATAGAGGAGAGGAACGGAGGGAGCGAGCGAGCGAGCGAGCGAGCGAGCGAGCGAGAGAGAGAGAGAGAGAGAAACTCACCATTGTTGTGGCCGTGCAGCGACGGCCGGATTTGCGACGTCGCGTCCAATAGCGTCAACAGGAACAGACAATAGAACACCTTTAACTCGGGCATAATAACGTCGCGGCTGATGCTGCTGCACTGCTGTCGCGTCCGCTGCTGCTCCGATCGCTCGCTATTTTGTCTTTAGCGGACATGAGAGTCCGCCTTCGGCCATACTCCGATACTCCGGGTACTATCGAAGCGCGCGATATCGATTCCGCTGGCGCGCGCGGCGCGGCGCGGCGCGCCGTGGAGCGCGAAGCCGCCACCGGCGGCGCCACCGGTGTCGCGGCCGGATTTAAACCGCGGACTCCGAGCGCGCGACCCCCCGCGATCTTCGAGATTCCCGGCTCCGCGTCCTATCGCGCTTCAAATTGCCGTCATCCGTGGAAACGAGAAAACGACAATCTTTTTTCTCTTCTCTCGAGCGACTTTGCTTGTCGTATACTTTACGGGGAGGATTATCAAGGAAATATTCTGAACGTTATCGTTATCGTACTCGAAATATTCAGTATCGAATACCGATTATCGATTGTCGACCATCTTCGAGTCCTCGAGCTCAGCTGTCGTCTGTCAGCAGAAGTCAGAACACGAGCAGAATGGAGCCAGGAGCAGAACAGAACGTATATGCGCTGATGCGCATGGCACGTGGTGATACGCTAACCTGTAATCTGTGACGCAAACAATTCGGATGTCCAGGAAAGATTGGTTTTCTATATAAAAATCTCATATAATTTTATTAATAAGATTGAGGAAAGGAGATAAAGAATCGACGAGATTAAAAATATTGACAATATTGATTAAACAGACACCTGTGCTTTACAACCTGAAGGAGTTGACTACAACCTGTAGTCAAAGGCACATAACCTTCATTCGAAAGAAGCTTTCTGAGAAAGGAAATTCGCATGCTTCATGTGATTCTCGAATTTGTAAATTGATTACTGTAAATTTTATGATCGCGTTTTGTAACTGAGTTTGACATTATTTTACCTCGAATTACAAAATATATTTAGTTAGAAAATCTGTAAATTGACTGATTTAAAAAAATGGGTAAACCATCTTATGGTAAGATTTTTAATACTCGGTATATAAAAGCGATGATTTAGTTGAATTTACGTAAGTAGCATCTGTATTGCCTTAGGACAAAGAAGTGACAGAGAGAAAAAGTTATCTTGGATGTATCGAAAGAAGGCTAAATTGAGAAGGGCGAAAAATTCCGAAGCCAAAGTAACCGATCCTGCGGACGCGAACGGACAGAATTCTCGAGTAATCGTGAGGAATTTGTCTTTTAAGGTATGTATCTGAATATGTCACCAAAATATAAAAAATATAAATATATTTTAATTAGTAAGAAAAATAATATTCTACCTTCTTATATTAAAAGCTTTGCTCTTGTGTGCATCGATCCTCTGACTGAATATACTAAAGGCATCGCATTTGTTAATACAGCTTTGGCCACGAGTATCAAAACACCCTTAATTTATTGCATTTTCTTGGAAAAAATCAGAGAGACAAAACAAAATATTAAAATTGTACAAAAATAATTATGTTCCAATAAAACTTTTTCAATTTATTTTTTGTTAGTTATAAAAGTTTATGTCAATTTGTGGGGAGTGCCGTATATACGATACACATGACCAAGGCTGTGCATTTTATTCTTTTCACTTGAATTAATTTATTATGTGTTAATTACATTTCATCAGGCAACGGAAGAGGACGTGAAAAGATTTTACGCGCCATTTGGTGAAATCAGGGAAATAAATCTTCTCAAGCGTCCTGACGGAAATCTCGTGGGATGTGGTTTTGTACACTTTAAACATGTTGAAGATGCTTCAAAAGCGATATTCAATACCAATAAAAAAGAGTTTCTCGGTATTTATAAAATCGCTTTGGCTGCTTTAAAAAATATAATATAATTTTTTACATGTATAATGTGCATCGTTTGTTCCAGGAAGGAACATAAACTGTGACTGGGCTATATCGAAATCCAAGTTCTGTGAGAAACTTGAGAAAGGTCTCGCTGCAAATCAAGAAACTGATAAAGATGAAGGGCAGCCTTCTCAGGATGCTCAGGAAGAAGACGATGGCGGTAGTAGCATTCGCGAGAAGGACACAAGAGAGAAGGATAATTTGAAGAAGCAAAAGAGGAGAAAGCTTTACAAGATGAAAAAACAGAAGAAACGAGCCAGGATTGTAATAAGAAATCTAGCTTTCCAGGTATTTGTTACGCATTACGAAAAACGTTTCTTTTTCAATACTTTTTATTATATCTGGTAATCTGCTTTAATCTGTTTCTAGACTACTGAAGATAATTTGAAGGAATATTTCTCTCAATATGGTGATATAGAGGAGATAAAAATTTTAACTAAACCTAATGGCAAACAGGCTGGAGTTGCGTTCTTGCAATATAAAATTGTACAAAGTGCTGCAAAAGCTATACATCATGCAAACATGCAGGTTCTTTTGAACAGGCCTATGATAGTCGATTGGGCTGTTCCCAAAACCAAATTCTTGCAAAACAGCACAGACGTGAAACCGGAAATAAAAACTGAACCTGCCGACGAGGATGCTGTACACGATATTTCAGAAATAAAAGCAACTGATGAGAATGACGTTAGCGGTTCGGAGGCTGAATCAAATGGGTATCTAAAAGTTTGAATTGTGTTGAAATATAAATGGATGTTATTTAGTACATATTTCCTAAAATCTTTGTTTCAATTTTTCTTTCTAATTTTGTTTCTGTCTCTTTTTTTTCTTTAATATTTGTATAATTTAATTCCAGAGATGTTACAGAGATGGACAGTGTAAAAATGGAGGACGAATCTGATGAAGAAAATGCAGATGTAAAAATGCATGATGCAGAAGATACTGACGACGAAAGTGATGACAATGATGATGACATTAAAGATGAAAGTGATGACAATGATGATGCCAATGTTACGATTGACGAATCTATTAAGGAAGAAGAGGACAGTGATGAGGAAGAGGATCGTTCCGCGAAACGTCCAAGTCGAGTGTCTAATGACGTTAGTGAAGGAAAAACAGTTTTTCTGAAGAATGTCCCGTTCTCCGTTAAAAATGACGAACTTAAAACGTGCATGGAGCAGTTTGGACCAGTGTTTTACGCTCTCGTGTGCATCGATCCTCTCACCGAATATTCCAGAGGCACCGCATTTGTTAAATTTCAGGTAAGAATTGCTAATTTATCTTCAGATATTATAAGTTCTTTTAATTTAATTTTATTTGTCAATATTATATGAGAAACATTTTATTGCAGCGTGTTGAAGATGCTGAAAAGTGTTTGTCGGCTGGAACTGAATTACGTTTGCGTGACCAAATAATCGATGTCCACAAAGCGTTACACAGAAAAGACGTTGAAGACAAAAAGAATTTAAAGGAAAGAAGAATTAAGGATTCCAGGAATTTGTACCTCATTAAGGAAGGAGGTGATGAATCTTAGATTGCAGAATATTATTATACTATATAAGGCAATTTTAACGTAGCAGTTGATTAACATAGTTGTTGGTTTCTAGTTGTGCTGGCCAAAAGTCCAGCCGCGGCGGAAGTATCGGTATCCGATATGGAAAAACGTTTGAAATTGGAAAAGTGGAAATCGCAGATGTTGCGTAACTTGAATATGTTCGTGTCGAGAGTGCGCCTGGCAGTTCATAACTTACCTCTCAATTTCGACGATGCGAAACTCAGACAATTATTTAAAAATCACAGCGGTCCTAAAGCTATAATTAAAGAGGTAATTTTATTCAAAATAATACAGTCTTGGCATTTATAAGCATAAAACGCCATCAGTTTATTGCATTTTCTTATGAAAAGGCGATACTAAAAGCCAAAGGAGGACTAACAAAATATTAAAATAGTTATGAAAATAAATATATTATTTTTTAATAAATTTAAATTATTTTTCGTTAGAAATAGAACGTTTACGTTAATTTGTGAGAGTGCTTTATACTTATGACCATATAAGACTGTACATGTGTTACTTTTCTAATGGCACTTGGACTTACACATAAACGTTAATTTTCTTTAAAATTTTTAAGGCGCGAGTTATGCGTGATTTGAAAAATGTCGATGCAACTGGGAAGGGAAAGTCGAAGGAGTACGGTTTTGTTGCGTTTACCACTCACGAGGACGCGCTTAAAGCTTTGAGAAGTATAAACAACAATCCGAATATATTTTCCAAAAGCAGAGTAAGATTCTAAATTTATTTTGATTATTAATTATTTTTATCACTTTTCGTATATTGATTTCTAAATTTGATGCAGAGACCCATAGTCGGATTCTCGATAGAGAATCGTATCTTGGTGAACGCGAAAGAGAGGAGAATTCAGAAAAGCCGCGAGAACAATCCCCTGTGGTCTGGAAACAAAAATAAGAGGAAAAATGAGGGCACCAAGGATGATGTTCCAGCTAAACGAGTTAAAGTCAGAAAATTAAAAGATCCGAATGAAAAATCATTTGCAGGCACGGCCGGCAAATTGGGCCAGGATAAGCTGAGGTCAAACTTCAATCTCAAGTCACAAGCCGAATTACATAAGCGGACCGTAAAGAAGCAGAAGAAACTGAATAAAGCGACTAAGCAGCTGAACGTGGTGAAAAAAGAAAAGATAAAGAACAAACAGGACAATATGCCAGTAAGATATATTAATTCTCGTATCAATAATAATAGGTGAAAGTCAGCCGATAATATGTGAATGTGAACTATGTAAGAAAGAAGTCTGTTTGGTCAGAGCTGGATCTCACTGCTTTTTAATCTTTTTAATGCTATCGATGTGTTAACACGTCCAGCAAATAGTATACTCTGCACTACTACGAGCGTGACGTGTCCGCTGTATCGAGTACCGCGAGCGCTATGGGCGTGTCACAGCAGTATTTTTTTAAGATACAGCTAGCACTGTAATTTGGCATGAATTTGAAAGGATTAATGATATTTCTGCGTGTATTTACATATTCCAGTTCTATCGGCTGCCCCCCACACAACATAAAAGGTTTCAAAAACATTTCGAAAATATTTCATGCAAGATTTGAAATATTTGAAAATATTTCATGAAATATTTCTGAAATACAAATATGTCTAGGAAATCAGAGTTTTCGAAATATTTCTTATGCTGTTTTGTACAATATTTTTATGAAATATTTTAATATAATA